ACTGATACCTTATGAGCCTCTGATTGCGTCTATTTATTCCAATTTGCATCACATTTACTTACAGTTATTATATTCCAGTGACGGCTGAAGAAGACTGACACACTGCTTTTCAATGATACATCTGCTGGTACACTATTTAAAGTTGAAGTTCAAACGCATTTCTCCTTCACCCAATGGAAAATCAACGCACGCGCAACACGACCCAAATTTCATTAACAAATCATAACGTGATCAAGCGTTCCTACAACTGGCTCTTGAAATTGGATAGGTATAGATAAGCAAAAGATATTGTTCGTGTGTGCGCGCGTGAGTGCGTCCGCGTGTGTGTGCCAGAGTGCAATGATGCATCTTGCATAGATACGCCATATGAAGCATGTTTGGCGGCCAAGCATTCCTTTTACGACAAACTTTATAAAGGGAGTAAACTTAGAGGCATAGATCAAGGGGGTCCGGATAAAAAAGGAGGGGGGGGGGCTTGTGTTAGCAAACATGTCGATGACTTACTTTCTGTTTCCTATGTCTGGATCCTCAGAGAGGGGATACAGGATATTTCTATAAATTAGTGATGACTGATGCCATGATAATATAACTTGATTGTTGCATTCATCGCTTATAAAAGAGATTCGATGCAATAGCGTTTGGCAAACCGAGCCTTGTTTTAAGGAAGGACTGTGTGGGAGTAGGGGGAGGTTCTTGATGATACTATGAGACAGGCAGACAAAGGGTTGTTCATGAAACAATCAGACAGACGGTAGATGGACATAACAGAGAGGAATCAACTGGTTCGATTGGTGAGTTTGATATGGAATTCCTATTCTGGCGATTAGGAGATCTGGACAACTGGGGAACTACACGTATCGCCTTCTATACCCTTTAACTGCAGTTGGGTTTTGTAAACTGCCATGGGTATATATTGTTGGGGTCAGATATGACCTTCTTTCTATGCCATCTTGCACATGCAAGGTCCATATTCGTAAGATCTAGCAGCAAACAGTACTGGACTTGATGTGTTATGAGCAGAGTTGCATTATTATGGCATATATTCGAAAGTTTTCTGGGCATTCAAGTACAAAGCAAGGGCGGCATCAAAAATGTGAATCCAGATGGTTGCTGAGATGAACGGTGTCTGAGACATGAAGGAACCCGTGTCGGAAGAAGTGAAGAAATGGTCTCTTCTGGAACCCTGGATCCAATCTGTTTTTGTCAAGAACAATGCAAATGCACCACGGTAGAGTTGAGAATCGTTTTCCCGCCGTTCGTTAAGTGTGATAAATGACTCAGATATGCGTGCGCTATTTACCTGTTATTCAATTACTATGATTTAAATTGATCTTGATTTATAATGTAACCCATTGTCGGTACATCAATGTAATCTCAAGAGAGAATCCCCGCTAATTTAATGTAAATAAGAAGGCCACTAAATTTATTTTATTAAATAAAAAATGTTCGTCATTGTATTACTACTTGGGCACTATTCGCTGTCATACAATGTACGTGTATAGTTACATGCACGTTTCGATTTGCATTGCATTTTCAAAACAAAATAGACTTACATGTATTTCGGACGTAACGTAATTAAAAAATCAGCAAATCACTTTTATTTTAAAGTAAAGTAAAGAAGTTAAGAATTCATTTGTCTCTTTAGAAATAAGGGATAAATTTAGATAAACTCCACGACCTGTCACAATCCGACATGCGAGAGTGCCTTTTCTTCCAGTAATTTGAGATCTTTTTTTCTGTTTTAGAATTATCATTGCGTTAATGTGTTATAGACAATTTTGACATGGAAATGGCATTATCAGTTAAGAGGTTTCCGGTACTCGAAGTTGAACGTCACTATTTGCTGAACAATTTAAATAACTGTCCGATTTCGAGGGAGACCCTTTAATTGTCCCGTTACGCATTAAAGCTAGCAGAAGACAGGAAATGGGATCACAGAAACGTACCAAAGTACTTATAGTAAATAGACAGCCACATAGCATAGATAATCCTTGTCTAGACTGACAAAAATCAAACGAAATTTGTCTTTTCGTGCAATCATCGCCTCGAAAGAGATTCATTTACTGAAGCGTGACGCTAAAAATAATGCATTATTTAGTGCAGAAATGCTCATATTTCGTGTTGTTATCGAAAGAATGAAATGACTGTCATGAAAGGGGTCACTCAGTGTATTCATCACTAAGAGTTTCGCATGTGTGAATGTGTGCGTGTGTGCAAATATGTATGTGAGCGTGTCAGTCTGCGAGGGTTCGGATGTGTGAAGATGCACACAAGAATGTGTTTAAAATTGAATTCAAGTAATTTGACTCGTTTTTGGGAATATACTTTGCAAGACCCTTTTTGGTCGTGCGGCCCACTTATCCAAAACGCAGTACTTCAAGGTCAAGCTTGGACCAACATTACATTATGTACAATGGGCCCAAGGGTCTAAATGATCATATTATTCTTAATGTTTTACTGTGGTCATGGTGTGGCTTCTTGTTTTCCATTAATTTTGTGAGTTATTGCGTTGTCTCTATGCCTTATCTGTGTTAATGATAACCGATCTAATGCAATCACAGCAATGTTTTTCCTTTAAAATTACAAATCATTATGCTGAGTTATGAATTGTGTATACACGGATAACATAATAGGAATTAGATGGTCAAAAACATTCTGGAAGATCAACTTGATCCTCACCTCCATCACCTTAAGTGTCAACTCCGTGATGTTTGGTCCAAGACTAGTGATTTTTTTAATCATAGCAATATAACTGTTTACATTTCCCCCTATATGTTATCATGTGAGTGTTCTGTCACCTGAAACATTGAGATTACAGCCAGTCAAACTGTTTGATGATGAGGGCGTTCAACATGGGGCTACAGATGGGTGTTTCTTTACAAATATCTATAAAGCTGAGAGAATTATACTCCCAATTGACTGATGAGAGGGTAGTTAACGCTTCAAGGGCAATTCATCACAGACCCTGGGTTAGGAGTACATCTATAAAAGACTGGCATTGAACGCAAACACAATCCTTAATCGTAAGCGAGCACACTGTGTATAGAAGCTGGCAGGACTCCTGCGCTCTCTCTCTCTCTCTCTCTCTGTGTGTGTGTTTACTAAGCAAATGGACACGTTTTTGCGGCTTTTTGGGTGGAGGCATGCACCTCACAGCTTTTCCTCACAAACAAGCTGTACCGCAATGTGTAAAAGAATCATACGGTGTGTTTGCGGAATTCTCCGAGACGTTCCCGTGGGGGAGGGTGTGCACATTTCATGATATAAATATCATTCACATGAAATCGGTTTCTTTGTTTGATAAATTAACAGAAAGGGGTGACTTTTTCACCTTTTCATGCATTTCAAAGAGAAACAAAATCCTTCCATTGTATGGTACAATGACCTTTTCTGAACCGTGTAAATTTACCCGTTGATACCATTCAAGCTGATGTTCCTACGTACATGATTTGAGACATGAGACGCTATTTTTCTTTGACTGATACTAAGTATAACATTAAAAAAGAGAAAATTGAAAAGATTGGAAAAGAAAGAAAAGAAATGATATACCTTTTCTATTGACTTCTGGAATCCTATCTTCCTCCGGCTGGACGTGTTCTTGCAGTTTGTTTTTTTATGTACTGCGAGGCCACGGCGAGGCTCAACCCAATTGTTTTAACAGCCCTTTGTTAATCGTGTAAAATGTTATCACGCTTTTCAGTTTCACCATCAAAATCTGAATAATGGATGAATAGGAAAAAATAACCTTAACATCCGGTTAATTTATTTTTTCGATAGCTTCATTTCCAGTGTTTTCAACTGTATTGATTAGATAAGATTGTAGCTGCAAGTACACAGCAGTCACCAAGAAGCAAGCCAGTCTGTTACATAAAGGATCGCTATGAACCAATTGCCACTCCTTCAATCTCCGAGGGCAAAAATCCCTGTAGTAATCGTGTTGAAGTTTATTAGAATAGGCCTTCACTTCATTGACAAGAAAGAAAAAACTAAACCAATTTTCGATGGTTAATATGATGGACCTTGTCTTCAACGACATGAGCTCACAGCAGTGCGAGAAATCAAGAGTGAATCGATACGGATATGACACTGAGCTATGAGCCTTGTGGGTATTGATACAAAGCTTATACGCCTGGCTGTCATATATTCCTCATCTGTGCAACGTTGGGAGCCGCGTTGGATTCTTTTCAGGGAGGTATAATGTTCCCGATAAAGTCTTGGAAATAGAGGAGCATAAACCATAAGTACTGAATATCTGCTGACTAGGATTTGCAGCCTCGCACCCCCTCCCCAAACCCCTCCCACGTCATCCCATTGTCTCTTTTATAGGATCTAGTGCATTCGAGTAGTGGGGGGGGGGGATTCAATAACGCACCTGGGCGCAAACACATCTGACACATGTACATTTGCACTTGCACACGCAGCACGTTCATGCTCACACACAAGCGCACTAACGCATGCACATTAATACATACATAACCCTACACGAACGCACACACACAAGGGGCGGATCCAGGATTATTTGACAGTGGGGGGGGGGGGGGGGGCGCAGATGCAGAGCCGACCTCCCCCCTTCCCTGGCGTGGGATTCAAAAAGGGCCCCGAAAATAATTGGTATTTTAGAGGGCGAACGGTGCTTCAGCTAGTCAAAAGCATCATTTAAAGAGGGGACCATTGGTGTAATTTTTTCAGACATCGAAGGACCCCCCAGACCCCCCCTCTAAATCCGCCACTGCACACACACACACACACAAACACACACGAATGCATGAACACAATCACACTTTCACGTGTAGGTCAAAACAGACACACGCGAACCAGCCGACATGGTACTGTTACAGGGCACACTGCAGGCATGCACAGTGCTCAGCGGCACAGGCCCAGGCAGTGCGTAGACTTTAATATCACTCGACGTAGTCACATCCACCACAGCCCCGCTGTCGCAATGCACGCTGCCCGCTGCGTTTAGTGCACAAAACAAACAATGTGGAACGTATATTCGTGCGGAACTAGTTTTATCGTCAGCCATGTTTGTTGCCATTAACAACGCATACATAGCCCTTGTGAGCAATCAATACAATAAGATTAAGCCGATATCACCTATGGGTCGGTAATCTCGTTAGCGACAAGTTAAAGTCATGGTATCCACGCGTTATCGCTATTGAGAGCTGGCGGGGAAAGAAAGCTCCTGCAGTAGTCAAACGCCATCGAAACTGACAATCGCAAGACATGATTCCGGTGGCGACAACTTATTCAAAGCTACCGTGAGTCGATTAGGTTATTGGGTTTAATTCGGAGACTTGCTGTGATAAACCGTATACGCCATGGACGAGAGGGTGAGAGCTGTCTTAGCAGGGCAGATGCCCGTTGAGAAGCTCCCAGAAAGTCCCCCACGAGTGGTCAGAATATACGTATCCTGTACACCCACAGGTAAGATACGGATAGGCCTAGGCCCTATTTATAATATTGCTTTGTATAAAAACGTACGATTTGTATCAATTATTAATGTGCCTCTACGTTTGTACCGGGGAGTTCAGTCATAAATGACTAAGGCTGTTTTGGTAGGCCTACTGATTTCGACTCGTATCAGTAGGCCTACCCTGTTAAGCCAATTTTTTTCCTTTTGTAAATGACCATTGCGAAAAAGGTTTAGCTGACTACTAGGCCTAGAGACCGGCCTTTTCTAAAAACTAATAATTCGTGTGTCACTGAATTGCCATAGGCCCTAAAACGAGAGCCCACCTCTATCTGTGCACATCAGATTTATCATTTCTTGAATAGAAATAAAATCGTGGACTGCATATTATTACCTAATTTTACGTGTAGCCTATATAGTGCAGAATCATAGTAGCCTTGTTAATATGTAGGGCCTACACTAAATATTTATAGGCCCTATATTATGAAGGCACCGTCTCCTAAACGTAGGCCCTACTAGTATTGTTCTTAGGCACCTGCACGAACACAAATCTATTTCAAAGTCTGGTTTATATTTGTCCAATTGTTTAAACTTCAATCCGTCAACGAGGCCTACATGTACCGACAGCGCTACTGTGATTGATTAACTATAGAAAGGTCTTATTAGGGTAATTAATATTTGGGTCTGTGTATAAGCGTGACATGAAGGAGAAACAATAATTTTCATGCAGTGAATCTGCAGAAATTCTTGTGATTTATATTTTCTTGCGGTTTTTATATTAAGCATCTGATTTTATTTTATATATAAATTTGAGGGGATATTTACTTCGTCTAGGGTTTTTGCTTTCATTTTAATACGAGAGATCATACTTCAAGCGACCCATGAAATTATAGCTTTAGTGTAATCAAGTGGTTATGTTTGTTTATCCTTAGATATGATCCAAGAGCGCAACGCCCTGATGCAACAGGTTTATCCCAAGCTTAGGGAATATTGTAAAGAGAAGCATGGAATTGAGCTACAGGTAAGATTTCAACTTGCAAATTAGTAACGGTTTATCCAAGTATCTCAGGTTATGTTTGTAGTATTTAGATAAATGATTTGTTCATTTTCATTTTGGACTGTGTTTGTGCTTTTACACACACACACACACACACACACACACACACACACACACACGCGCGTACGTGCATAATCGCCTGCAAATTGACTCATTTAGTTTAACACACATTCACAAGTACAGTGTCCTCGAACTCGCTGACTGAACTTGTTGATTACGACAAATCGTTCTTATTTACGCTCTGCGAAAGGTTTCTCCTCGTCCTAAACAAATCAAACACTGCATTGAGCAGCAATGCATCATTGTAGTCCCATAAGCTGCTTTTGTCAAAAGAGCAATGCGCTTTTCCTTGGTCTGTTTTCAAAACACGCTCTGCTTGTGCTTTGCCCTTCAGACACTTTCTATCGGCTTCGTTTTGCGTTACATTTCCCATTGTTACCTTGTTGTTGTTGATCTGTTTTGGAAATAATTAACTCTGCGAAAAAGGTTAAAGCAACTGATCCTGCATGCTTACAAATATTATCACAAGATGTTTTCCCGTGCCGCTTGTACTTGAGGTACTAAATGTAGGCCCCTAACTGTCCAGTAGTTTCTTTTACTTTGATTTAGGGGGATGATGAGTGCCATGCTAAACTGTTAATAATATCATTGACAACGAATGCAACTTTCCCATATAATAATAATGATAATAATAATTCCAGCAATTGCATCAGTTTATTCGCATGTTTTCACCTATTTCATCTTTGATCAATGAGTGTCTTGTTGTGTAGGCCTACATATAGGCCTGTCAATTGCGCTACATATGTATTCCAGTTTCTCATTATTCGAAAAAAAATACTCTCAGATTAAAAAAAAACCACTCGTGTGTATTGAATAATTTTGCATATGACTTATTACTATATTTAATTAGAATCATTATTATCTTTATGCTACTTGAAGATGGTGGACCTGCGATGGGGCGTCCTCCCGGGTATCAGGGACGATCACAACCAGGCTGAACTGTTTCTCCAAGAGCTAGAAAGATGCCAGAGAGTGTCCGCTGGACCAAGTTTTGTGGTAAGTTACGGTTTTCCATGCCAAAAATGGAATGTGTGTGTCTTAACATTGGTTGTGGGTGCGTGCATTCTAGGAGATATGAGTAAGTGGAATACTTTAATCTGCCTCAGATTGATAAAATTGATTTTCTGCAGGTAGTCTGTACTTACAAACTAAAAAGATATTAGCATATTGCTAGTGGGCCTTTTAAATGGACCCATTCAGTCGTGATTTAGTAATCAAGTTACCAAATCACAGCTCGATGGGATCGATCTTAGGGAACCAATCAGCAAAAATAAATCGGGCTCTTTTGTATTTGAATAATCAAATATTTATTTTCATCAAAAGATCGGTTGCATTTATTGATCGACAGCAGGAGTATCATAGCCATTCATCAAAGCTGTGTTTGCTTAGGCTTATGAGGAGTAGTAGTTAGACACTTTAGTTACTCGTGGACTCCAATCGATACAAATCACAGTATAAGCTGTCTCGTCTTGCATCGTGATCAATGTCTGACTCGATTTCATTTGTTTTACGAAGAACTGTACTCAGTCTAGGATTGAAGAATGGCACCGCAAAAGAGCATGCCTGTACTAATAGAGGTCTATGTAATTTTTGTTGGAAACAGATAAGGGATGAAAATTGTATGACGTAAAGTTGATGCATACATGTATATTCGTCATTTTTGCAATTAATAGACCACATTTTGATCGGCCCTTTACCCTCAATTTCAAACGTATTGGTGGCTGTTCACGAACTTCATGAAATCTTCGTAGGCCTACCTTTTATTGAACACCTGATTTACTACTGTGATTTGGGTGAAATATGAAATGTCCGGTCTATGAACTTATTGATAAACGAATATTTTCTTTTTTTAGTTACCCATTCCTTTAAAAATCCAATCAGTGATTCAAACCAAACTTGCACTTTTTAATACTGCTGTGTTTCGAAATACATGCATTGGAATTATGTATTTTTATTAACAGGCACTTATTGGTCAGCGGTATGGTGATCGACCCCTCCCGGCAACGATACCCGAGCACGAATACGAAGTTCTCCGAAACTCACTCCGGCGAAATCGCAGCCGAGAGACCCGTGACGCTGGCATGTTAGACCACTGGTACTTTAAAGACACTAACGCCATACCACCCGTTTATGTGCTACAGCCAATAAGTTCTGTGATATCTGACTTTAACGAAATGGTAAGTAATCACGGATGGTTGACAAACCTATAAATACATCTCAAAAGCCAAGCAGTATATTTGCAAAAATAACACCAACAAAGAGGACTAAGTAGTTAGTGCATGAACTCCGGATTTCTTTATATGTAGAAATAACACATGGGCGTCAATGAAAGATAAGAAAAAACTTTAATATTGCTACTGATGAGAATAGGTTTCTTTATAACTTGTACTACATCAAAAAAAAAAATGTGATGGTATTGTGACAGGAGAAAGCAGGAGCCATTCGATGAGACTGTATGATTGAAAACAGTAGCGCAACTGAAGCAATTTTGATGCATTCCAGAGATAATAGCTTATTCCTTTAATCATTTTCTGCTCTGAAAATGATGTATAGAGGAGTGCGTTTTGTATTAAGACACGTGTCTTTATTTTGCTTTCATGTTCATAGAATGACCCAGAAGTTAGAAAAGCAGCTCAAGAGCAATGGCTGCACACAGAGAACAGTCTACGAAAGCTTCTCCAGAAAGGGGCGGAGTTATGTCACAAGGAAGGCAGTATGGACGGTTACAGCAAGCACAAATATTTCATGGGAGGTAAATGTCTGATAAACATATTTCGTCAGATATTCTTAAAATAGATATGGTATTCTTGAATTGATGTTTTTGCAAAAAAAAAAGTTCTGTCAGTAATCCAGACAAGAAAAAATGTTATTCTAAATTATGTAGATATTTTTTGATGCATGATGACATAAGAATTCACATTCAAGATATTATTCTTTTTTTTTTTTTTTTTTTTGCTCAGAATTTGAGAATGAGCTCCGCCACGGAATTGAAAACGCCCCGAGACCACGTGACACAGCTTTTGTGTTCATGCGTGAAATAGAAGACTTGAAAAACTATGTTACTCACAAAAACACTCCAAAATTCATGGACATACGGTGGAACTGGAAAGAAGAAAAACTAGAAATTGACTCAGACTCCCAAAGGTTCCTCTACGATCTCAAAAACGGCAAAGTACCTGCATGGATGGGAAAACAAAACATTGATAAATTTTCAATTTTGTGGCGCTTTGAGAAAGTTGTGCACCCTGATCTTCACAAAGCATACATTAACGATTTCTGTGACAAATTCCATGATACTGTCATTAGACTCGTTGACAAGGCGGCATTTTCCTATACACCGATCCCTGCACCACCTATCTTTGATACAGTTCTGCCACATTGGCTGATAACTCAAAGAAAATGCCGTGACTTCTTCGGCAGAGAGGAGATAATGGACCGCATTTACGCGTACGTCACAGGGCATTCCAAGCAGCCACTGGTGCTACACGGGCAATCGGGTTGCGGCAAAACTTGCGTCTTTGCAAAGGCACAAGAAGAGGTTCGTACCATAATTGAACTAACAGTAAATATATCTTAAATTGCAGTTATTGTTATCTTCTACTTATTATTAAGTCAAACCCAAATACACTGGGCAATGTTAAAGTTTGTCCTTGCTGGAACTCCACCCTTTCTTCTTGTGCACAAACAGAAATTACAGGTATATGTATGGCATAAATTTGTTTTTTTAGGTACCACAATGGGTCCCGGACTGCACCACAATCGTACGTTATCTTGGCATCAACGCAGAGAGTGCCGACATCCGCCAGGTGATATACGGCGTCTGCCACCAACTGGCGCTGTTGGAGGGAGAAGACGAGCACCACATCCCCACCGACTACAAAGCACTGTTGAAATACTTCTTTGATCTCCTCGAACACTACCCGGAAGACCGGCACCTGGTCTTATTTTTCGACTCTCTCGAGACCCTGAATCCGGAACACAATGCTCACTACCTAGTATGGCTTCCAGAAAAGCTCAACCCCAACGTGAAAATTGTTCTTTCCACGTTACCCGAGAAGCACGATATTTTGGATCGTCTTCGCACAGAGGTCATCAAGAATCCGAATTATTTCATTGAAGTGCCACCACTGTCAGTAGACAACTGCGTCTTACTGATGGAGTACTACCTACAGCGCGTTGGTCGGCAGATCAGCGACGATCAGCTCCGAGTCGTTCGTAGAGCGTTTGAATGCTGTTCCCTGCCGCTGTTTGTCCGCCTTACAGTCGAGGAGGTCACCCGCTGGCGGTCGTACACAAAACCAGCCCTGAAGATGATCGTCAATACAATCCAACAAGCCATTGGCGTCATATTTGACCAGTTGGAGGCGATTCACGGCAAAACCCTAGTCTCTCACTCGCTTACGTATCTAACAGCTTCGGCTACCGGCTTAAGCGATGGTGAAATGGAAGACCTTCTGTCGTTGGACGACATGATACTAGACGAGATTTACCGAACGTGGCACCCGCAGGTCCGCCGCATTCCTCCACTGGTATGGGTTCGTCTACGCGCAGACCTTGAGCCATTCCTCTTTCAAAGAGAAGTAGACGGCGTGGTCGTGAGCTTTTGGAACCACAGAGAGTTCGTCGAGGCGGCCAAGCAGCGCTACTTGGCCGATGAAGAAATGTGCAAGAGAATATATTCCGAAATGGCTAACTATTTTTCTTGCTCTTGGCATGGCCGTCCAAAACCGTTCAACTTCTCTCCAGCCGTCGCCAAAAGTATGGGACTCTCGTCTACGGCCAGTTCAGCTGACAGGTTAGTGTTATCCCAGCCTCTCACTTTTGTCGGAAGTGATGGTACAACTCGCTATAATAAGCGCAAGTACGACCAAATGCCACGTACCCTTTACCTCTCTGGGCGTCTGAACGAGTTGAACAAGATGGCCTTCTTCAACTATCTGTGGCTGTATAACAAATCCAAGGCGTTATCCATACAACACATTATCGCCACTTTTGCCTTGAATCCCGGGACCGAATCAAACCTGGTGAAAGGTGCTCTGCAAGCATGCCAACCAGTGATACTCAAGAACATGAACAACATGGCCGCCGAACTTACGGGTCGACTTTTGACGTACTACGCATCCCACCCAAACATTCGCCACCTCATACAGCAGTGTGATGTAGAAGGGTTGCAGCATTCAGCTCTCGTGCCAGCTTTCCCTTATCATCAAGTACCCGGGGGTCCTCTGCAGCACACTCTCGAATCCCCAACTCCACTCCAGTTTTTCCAGCTTCTGGGTAGCGACTCAAGATACCTTTTAGCCAAGGAGAGATCCAGTCAGAATATCCTTGTGTTTGATCTTGCCACAGGGGAGTGGAAGTACGATATTCAAGCGTCAGCTGGAGACATGCATTTGACACCAGATGGCTCCATGATCGTCTTGCTGGACCACGTGACCGAGATGTCAGTGAAGATTCACAGAAGCGATACAGGAAAATACGTAGGGCAACTCATCCCCTTGAATCACACAACGGGGGAGACGAGTGAGAAGTACAAATTAGGCAGGATGTCTCTGTCTAATGAATTCCTATGCATTATTGCCACGTTTGAAAAAAGCTACCTTTGTATCGCCAGCGTCAATGAATGCAAATTCATCGAAGTTGTAAATTTAAATGGTAAAGCCAGCGTTTGCACGATCACGCCCGATTCTAGATTCGTTTTTACCAACTCTGCTGAGACTCTGATGTCATATGATTTGTTCACACTAGAACATGTGTGCAGCCTTCCGCTTGAGCATCGACCAAACCACGTTGTTTTTACCAGAGAGGGCCACAGAGGGTTTGTGAGTAACCTGGAGGAGAACGTTATCACTGTGCTACATGCCAAAGAGGGATACGTCGATCTCACGTACAAGATATCCCTAACGGAGCTTCTGAAGGGAGATCAAATATCCGACCTCGTTGTTTCCCATAATGAGAAATATCTTCTTGTGAGAGGAAACAGCAACTTGGTCATATACGGCGTGAAGAATGAGAAGGTTCTTTCCTGCTTTGGTAGACCCTCCGACACACCAGTGCAGTTCAAACTACCACAGAGAAGTCTGACCGACCTGAACTTCACCCAAGCCAAGTTCTCCCAAGACGACCAGTACGTTCTAGCAACGATCTTTAGAAACATCTACATCATCGATGTATTGTCGGGAAACTTGGTCACAAAACTGCAGTCTCCCATGGGAATTATCACGAGCCTGCTTTTGCCAGACAAACGCAAGCAGATAGTGACACACATTGAGAACTCTGATGTCATCCACGTGTGGAACCTTGACGACGCAATCAAACACGTGGATACCCTGGATCGCCTCACCGGACGCATCCAGGAAGTTTTGGTCACCAAGGACAACACAGTGTCCTTTGTCCGTTGCCATAACAGCGATGAGGTCGGGGTCATTGACATGAGCACGGGTCAACTTTGTGACCTCTTGACCCACGAGAGTCCCTTGACTGGCTTAAGCATCACCACGGACGGGAGATACGCGTTTGTGTCGGTGCAGCCAAAACGACCAGGGATCACTAATAAAATATGGCATATGGAAGAGAGGAAAATCATCCACGAATTTGGTGAGGTGGGAGGTTACAGTGTACCGTTGCACAATGTGAGCACCATCATCAGTGTGTGCCAGAAAGAAATTGACTTCAAGGCTCCGTACTACATCAGCTTGTTCAAGTTTGAAGAAGACCGAGTTGTGGAAGTGCAGTGTGATTTAACACTGAACTTTGTCCTTAGCAAACCATTCGTCACCAAAGAGGACAGATATCTGATTGTCCTCACAGCGGATGAGTACAATGAGTATAAAGCAGAGTACAACAGCCCCGCTATCTGTGCCTTTTCTCTTGAGAACGATTTCGCCGTGGCATCTTACAGCCCTGCTGACCTTCGCTCATGCGTTAATGTTAAGCGCATGCTGGATGTTCGTCCTCACGAAAGTAACCCTTATGCCGTCATTGTGCTGTACTCGTGCGCAGCAGAGGAGGATGAATACAGCGGAGTATCCAGTGGCTACACGTCTGGAATCGGGTTCCTGATATTAGACGTATGCAGCGGAGCCGTCATCCACGTGTGTGACACATTCTTCCCACCAGATGTCGACTTGAGCAGAATCTTAATCAACCAAGACGTGACCCTCTGCATGGATGCCCAGTCCCACATCTACGATATTACCACAGGGTTTTGGAAATGTCAGCTGGTGCCCACAGGGACTTGTCCACAGAGGTTCGCCCTCAACGGGAAAGCTGTGATTTACTACGAAGATCAAGAGGTCTACGTGATCAGAGTTGAAGACGGCAAGGAAATTGCTCGGTGTGACGTCCATATGCCGATCACATGTGTTGAAGTCTGCCATGACCAGAGAACGATTGTCGTAGGTTGCAGCGACGGTGCGGTCTCGGCATACGTCCTCATTGACGAGCGGTACGACAACGCCAAGGAGATCGTGAAGACCATCCCCAGTCGCCAGTTGCCGCTTAGCACGGATATTGACGGACGAACTTCAAGGTCGTGGGACAAGGTCGAAAGTTCGGCGCCCCAAACACCCATACGGCTTCCCTCAGCTCTTAGTCTTGGCCAAAGCGAGAAAGAGATGCTCAGAAAGATCAAACCTGTCGACAGAATACGACCCCAATCTGACACTTTGATTTACCTCAATGCGAGGTCGAAGACGTGCTCCGTAATGTGACTGCAAGAGTGCCATTAAATAACTTATGCAGGATATCTTTAATGACTTGTCAAACAGTCAGATTAACAAAAAATCTTGTGCGATTTTTCTGTACTGCTGTGGAGATATACGTATAATTTAACCCTTATTTGAATTGTATATTTATTGTAAATAATGTAAAGTTTTTTGATGGTTTTGATACCTTGAGAATCCTCTATACGCAGCATTTATTGGCAGCGTGTGAATGCTAATTGTGTTACATAGGCCAGACCCGATAGTAAACACATCATGCTTTCTGATATTATATATATATATATATAATCGTTGCTAAACGAGACTGAGAGATGACTATATTTATGTTTTTTACCTAGACACGTTCAACCGCCAGTGGTTCGTAGTGTTTTACTGTCATATTTTAAAGGTCCCTGAAAAGCGAGGTACATGTACATGTACAACTTTAATTAAAGTTATGACGGTTATTATCTCAGCATTCACTTTAAAATTTAAACTTTAGAAAGAACCACAAAATTACTTAACAATGGCCCGTCCTATTGTAACCTTTGTAATATAGAATTTAAAAACCAAGAAACGCAAATGGTTACCTGTTCCGATATTAGATGATGTCCAACGATTTCCATTGGGCGGCATCATACTATATTTATTGATTTTGCATCTTGAGAAATACAACAAAGCAAAATGAAACGTGTCGTTTTAATTGAGAATAATGCATGTGGTTACAGAGAATTAACGTTTATCCGAGGAAGCTCTTTATCTTTATCAATTTAGAGATGGCGATATTCTACCTTGAAAAGAGATCTATTTGTTAGTTGACACCATGAAACAAACGTGTAAAAGGTGAATCTACGCCTTTCCTCGGCTCCAAGAAATTATTTTAAAGTTGCCTTCGTACAACTAAATGTTGAATTTAATGCCAAAAAATTTAAAATAAAACTAGAGAGAGGTCTTACATGTATGTATAAGCCAACCGCTAAAGCTTCCCATATTAAATACAATTGTAAGTACGTGCCCTCTTGAAGTGAAATTACGAACTCTCAAAATGTTAACAGGTCTTGGTACAGTAAGGATCAGGCATATTAATCAATCAATAAGAAAAGAAATGATAAGTGGAAAACAAAAAGGCAATATTGTTACGATTAAACTCATGTCCAACGTCTATGTATTACTCGAGTGTAAGCCTTAGTCATTTTTTATTGCAGATAAGAAACCTTGTGCATACAATATCGTTTTTTTTCTACCCGTATATCATTTAAAAGAACAGAATAACGGGCAGTTATTGTTAGTGATATATGATACATCCTTCATCCCAAGGTGGCCATCGACTATTACCTCAATTATGGTGTCAGGGTAACGCTCAAGACTGCTTTTTAAAGACTCCTGAGCGCCCAAACAGGAAGTGTTCATGGCATAATAAACTAGAATGGACATTACAGAGTGCGTTAAATGGATAAAAGTGTTCCAATAATGATATATACCAGCCCAATGGAATTGGAAGGAAGCAAATTTACACGCTACTCCCCCGGGAGAAGAAATACATTAATTCGTCTGGTACGGTAACATTTGGAGGCGTAAAATAAGAAAAACCGTCTCGATAAATTCTCGACACGCACTGAATATAATGTATTAGAGTAAGTACTAAGGCGGCTTAAGGGTTCCCTGTGGAACATTATCGGATATGGAATGCATCGTTGGTGAAAATGTAGTCTAATTTTGGCAAATTGGCAATATTTTGTCTGCACCTCTTTCATTAATTAATATGTAATTACTATGCTACATGCTTAGCGGAAGGTCGCGCCAATACGGCTGCCTTTCCACGACCATTCATTACTCATTCAATTTCTCACACAATGAAGTAAGGACTCTAATGTGTGCAACCTGATGAATTTGTCGTGTTTTTGCCGTGTTTTTACGAGGCATTGGTTTCATTGTCAGACATGTATCTTAGGGCAGCAGATATTGTGCCTCTAACAATCAAGACAAATGTGTTGGCAACATTTGACCGATAATTGGTTATTGAGTATTTCGGATGTAATTTCTAAATGAACCTTTGTAGGTGTCCACAAACTTCCAAATCATCCATTTAGAATGTAACAGAACAATTGTGACAAATTAGTAGCATTTTTATTTATTCTAAAATGATGTATAAAATGCATAACTACCGGTAGGCAGCCCTAATGATGATTACTTTATCGACTCTGGGAGTCTTATTATTTTTATGTAATGTGTTTTTCTACGAACCAATAATTCAAATCGATGTACATTTGAAAACCGCTAACCGAAGTGAGAGAACTATTATGTAATGCAATATCCTAATAGACAAAGAACTGATGTGCAGTTAGTGGTGGATAAGTAAAAAGATAGCCGTCTTAAAATATAAACGTGTCTGTGCTCTGTTGTAAGTTGATAAAATGGTCATATTATCCCTCTTAAAGCAAAAAAAAAAAAAAAAAAAAGGTGACCCACAGCTTTGTGACGCTGACGAAACTGAAAACACCTCACTGGTATGACTTTTTTGTTCCGAAAAGAATCATACAATCGTTTATTAATTAACATCTTGTTCGCTCTCTATTATTTTTTGTTTGTTTGTTTTTCGTTAATGGCAAATACCAGCAGTGATTACTGCAAGATATTATGAATAAGCAAAGGTTATGAAATACTGGCACCTTCGCTGCTAAATCTGTCACTGCACTGTATATAAACCAGACCGTTCACTACACTAAAGTTCTAAGGAATGTGTTCGTGTGTGGATTTGTACATGTATGTACGTCTCCCGGGTGTGTGTGACAGAGAGAGAGTGTATAGTGAACAAGTGAGTATGTGTAAGTGCCAAACATGCTTGCTTGATTGCTCACTCGTACGTGGCATGTGAGCTCTGTTCGCTTCGAGACTAGAAAAATAGTGATCATATAACCCCAAAGCTACATAGTTATAGTACCTTCTCTTATAAAAAAGGGTTTCAAGTTCATGGACACAAGCCAAGGAGGACGTTGTTGGATTTTCAGGCCATACTCCAGTTAAGTATCCAAAACATCATCAGAATCTTTGTTCGACATCATTTCATATTAAGATGCATATTACACGCTCATCAGCACACTGACATTCACACTCCATTCATTCATGCATTCATGCTTGTCTCGCTTAACATGGCCAAGCAAGTTTATCTGATGGCCGGCCCGTCAATATAAGGTTAGACGTTGTAAATGGGCCAGTAGAAAGAGTTTTAAGAGTTCGGAGTTCATGGTTTAGTTGAATAATTCATGTACCAGTAATGTTCTTGTAAATATCACCATAATAACGGAAAATCCTCTTGATTTCCACTTGATGTCAGCACCTAGTCGCCCGCAGCAGAAATTTTCATGGCATGTCTTTCATGTTGAAAGTGCTATTTCGAAAGACTTTCTACCTCGGGAAATGGACGTCCATTCCTTCGCTTGCGATCATTGTTAATAAACCATATGGTTGCACGGAATTCGCTCCTGTCTATTATATTATTGTCTGAAAAAAAATCAAGAAATACACTTTTTATCGACATCCCAATACATACAATCACACAAAATTACAGTACAGTTTACATAACGGACATTTACAAACATCAATACAACTATTAGTACACAGCGACTACATGCAGTACATTACAAATCAATAAATTTTTACACTTTAAGACAAACAAACAAAGGAAAATAAAGTTTCGCAAAGTATGCAGAAGCAACGGACTAGACTCATCGAAACAATGCACATAGCATAGCATTTCACATTAAAATAAGATACAGCATACAATTTAAGCAACTAAGACATCCAAAAACATATGACGCATTTAAAACAAATTCAAAATTTGAATTTATCAGTAGCCAAATTTCCCTTCAAACACTTTATTCTTTAGATGTAAAAATTCAATTCCATAATATCAAAATTCGCCCAGGGCTCTATATTTATAATTTCGGAACATAATACACGCTTTAATGATTGATACTCTAAAGTGATAAGAAAACCTCGATACATCGTGAACAACTTGTATATACTTGTAAAGACTTTTGAAAAATTAACCATACTGTCTATTTTTTATTTAATCAAATACCATTATATTTTACGAGGTTTTACGAAAACAAATTACCAAAGAAAATAAAATATGCCTACTATCTAAGTCGAAAAAGTCGAACATGCTATCAGCAATACTTTCCCTTTCGCTTTCGGAGGGATGCCTTTGATTGCCATGGAAAAATCGATTAATTATCACAATTAAATTGTCCAACGTGGTCCTTCTATTTGGTTCCGCTAATTCAGGATCTAAAACAATAAAAAGGAACACCGGTAAAACACTTGTCTCGTTGTCTTTGTAAGATGCACATGGCAGTGGGTCCAACATTTCTTCAACATTTACAAAAATTCTTTGAAAAAATAAAGAAATAGATAAATTTGACCTTTCCCCCCCCCCCCCCCCCCCCCAGAGAATATAACTGTGTGGCACTCAGCTATTCCGCCTAGCAATTATAATTACAGCAGTTGGTCGATATAAAAGTCTGCGTGTGAACGATTACCAAACGTTTATGAATTTTACATTTTTGCTCCGTTGTCTATACATGTATACTTATAAACTATTTATCATTGGTAGTCATCAAAAAGTGGCATAAAAATGCACAATCAGGTATGAGGCACAATATGTATTATCGGTTGTCCTTATCATCTGATAGCCGGGTGTGTACATTTCTGCCCCTTCAGGGACATGTTAAGCGTGTTTCTAGTTCTAGGTTTCTTCGCTCGAAATAGACGCAATGTACGTAAGATTTTGTTAAAGACAAGAACCTGCTCAATGATGTCAATAATATGAGAAAAGAAAAAGCATATTGTTTTTTTTTTTTATTATAAAGTAATTTGCCCTAACAATTATCAAAACAGCAAGGTTGTACCATCAAGCAATTACTGTGAAAGGTAAAATATTAGAAGACAAGATTAAATGCTATTTCACATTCGTAATTGCTTCATAGACCCAGTTTTCAAGACGAAACATTGCACTTGGTGACATAATACGGCTCCTGATGTCCAAAAATTTAGGTATGAAGCTTATTCATATTTAATATAAATGTCCATGTAATTGTTAATAGATTGTGACATTGATAATGGTCTTGCATTGACTGAATAACCCTATTAATTTAGCGCTAAGATGATTGAGGTCTGGAAATACGATATTAGTGTGGATTGTTTTCCAGTAGTCAGTTTTCCGAGTTTTATCTAAAAACGACAACCATGGGTTGATTCAGGATCTTGAACTTCACAAAAATTTCACGGAGACGATCTTCCAGAGCATTCCACTCCATTTTTTTTTATTATTTGAATTACAGCACCAACATATATAAGCACATTTTTGTCGCAGTCCCATTCAAATTATGGTTATACTATATCGATCAATGGGTGTGTGATAAAAATGAATGCAATACATGCAGGTCATGTACCACGTACGGATCCAGAAAGCGCGCGCGCGCGTGTGTGTGTGTGTGTGCCCTAAATAGTACAATTTACAGCATTTGAACATGGGATATGTTAATGGAGGGCAAAGCTAGGTCGACAATTATGCTTGCCTTCCCTCCCTCCCGAATCTGCCATTGAGTGTTTACAAAGTTAGTTATCCTTCATCTTTTAGATAAAGCTAAATTGGCATCCATTTATAGAGGTCGTATTGAGATCAATTCATTTAAGTGTTTGCCAGTTGCCGTAGATCAAATGAAAAAAGCTTTGATATGGGTTTCAGAGCTGCTTTATTCCTCACTATTACTCTTGAACAATGGGGTAGTTTTTCCCCGAGATGTCTTGTTATTAGATAAATGTCATCAAGGGAAGTATCCAACAGAGGTTTGTATTTTTTTATTTGTTATTGAATGTTAGGTTTGACTCACAGTTTAGGTGCATTGTCAAAACATTGGAATATGGCATGCTTTAGGACTTACCATTCAATGTCATATCGGCTAGCTCAACTGAGAGGCCAACCTGGCAACATGCACTTAGGCAGGGAGGGGGGTAAGGGGGGATCGAACAAACCACTCTTTCGGCTGGGATAAAGTCCGCTCTGATATAAATTTTGATCTAGTTTTTATGGGGATTCATGGGATTTGCGGTAAGAAGCTCCATTTTTGCCAAAAAGTACCTTCTTTGAACTAGTTGGCTACACGCCTGGGTACCTAAATTTGAAGTTTTTCATTATCCATCAGGTAATCGTACGAGTTATGCAAAATGATAGTTTTAAAAACCTTCACGTAATTTGGTAAATACAGAAAAACGGAAAAATTATATCACAAAACAAACATGGAACCGAAGCGTGTACATGACGTTTAAACTTGCATGTCGAGTTCATTCAACGGATTCCCTACAAATTGTTACTGATACACAAAAACGTTGATTTACACCTGTGGAAAGAAGGGCAGCGTTGTGCACGGTGAGATGTACACGTTTGTACATATAAATAAGAAACATATTGGATATAAGAATGGTTGCATCTTTTTAAAATAAATCCCCATATTCGGCTTCTTGACCAGTTATAAAAAAGCGTCTGAATTTCAAACTTCATATAAAAGTGTTTATTCACTGCTGTTAAGAGACAAATTAGAAGTACATGTACATATAGTCCGTACTTTTAGAATTGTGATGGCAAAGCATCATCTGAAGAAAAATTAAGTTACACGGAAGATTTCCTCGCTCATTTGATTTACATAATCGTCTTCATGTCACTGATGAAGTACAGGCTACAGACAACCTACGGCGAATACAAGGAACAAATCCATTCCATTGACATAAAGGAAACCACTTTATTAAGCTACAGCAAATGCGTATGCAGTTGACTGACTGGAGTATTAGGACTAATAGCGTTTGCCATAATGGTTGTACCCTAAGGAAGTTCAAACGTTACTGAGCAGATCATATTATTATAAGCCGAGTCGCCCAGCTATTCCTAAAGTACGTGTATCTGTAACCACACGGGAATTGAGGCAGGAAAGGTTACACGGGTAAGCGCATCTTTGCAACCCCACAAATGAATTTGGTGCAAAATTGTTTGTAAATGATAACTTTTGCTGACTCACAACATCATAATATTTAGGATGATGAGTCTTATCGATTATTTGATATATATATATATATATATATATATATATATATATATATATATATATATATATATATATATATATATATACTTTTAACACTGAAGTCAGGCACAAATTTGTTAAATTGTTAAAATAATTAGGACAATTAATTAGTAGGGTCACAGTGTATGCAATGAAAGCAGCCCTATTTGGCCAAATCTCGAACAACCAATATTCTGCATTGCCTCTCTTCTTGACATGAATGGGACTCTATGAAGGTTTGTGGTAATCTTCGGTGGTAGGGTAGGTTACTTTCCCAATACAGGGGCGGATCCAGGATTATTTGAAGGAGGGGGGTTCTGCTGATGCGAAACCGACCCCCCTCCCTTGGCGTGGAGTTCGGGGGCCGCTGAAGGGCTCCAAAATTTTTTGGTATTTTAGTGGGTGAATGGTGGCACTTGGTACGGTTTAGAACTATAATTCAGCTGGTCAAATTTTTAATTTCAAGAGGGGACCATTGGTGTGATTTTTTTTCAGAAATCGAAGGGGGGTTCACCCCCTAAATCCGACACCCCCCCCCCCTAAACCCGCTACTGCAATATTTCAACTGTAGATATTTGCTGTGATATGCATTTGAGTGTACCCCGCAATACAACTAACATACATGTATATACGTGCAGTATGCAATCGATTATTTTGCCATTTTAATCACCATCGTAATTACACTCTATCAAAATAAATTGACTGCATAATTATGTAACAAGAGAACTGATAGGTCCTACAGGTATAGAATTAAAAATTCTGATTTAACCTGCCAGATGGTTGTTTGATATCACATTCGGCTGTTTTACAATTTCGACGTCAAAAGCACTGACATCTGACGTCTTAATGTACAATCAACCAGAAACTTTGCAGATCAGTTGACGTAAGACAACGATCGATTGTTTACAAGAAAAGTGAACTGCGTTCAGATAACTATCAGATAATCTCAGCGGTCTGTTTTATCTCAGTTGAATACTGATCCGATTTCCAATTCACAAAGATTATTCATTAGATGGACACTAATTCATTTTGGCTCCCCTGCGCCTTACGCGTAACAATATGAAGCAAATATAACCACTTGCTTTCTGGATATAAAATCACAGAAAAATAGCAAAAATTGAAGGGATATATATTTTATGCCCCTATTTCACACAGACCACGAATCCCACTAATCGCCAGGAATTGACAAATTTCAGGATTCGTGGTTGAACCGTAATCAGTTCGTGATTGATCAAGAATTGCAAGAACTGACTACGCATATATACGAATCTGTTAAGAACTTCATGAACTGATTACGATTCAACCACGAATCCTGAAATTTGTCAGTTCCTGGCGATTCGTGGGATTCGTGGTCTGTGTGAAATAGGGGCATTAAACCATCGCGCGTATACATATTCAATTTGGTCATGTGAAATATGGTCGTTCCGGAATTTCTGATCCCCGGCAGTGGGAATCAACCGGGATCGCTCAATGTGTTGAGACGAAGGGAAAATTAAGCAAAATTCCCCGGATTTAGACTGGGCTCCTTTGCCTAGATGGATCTAACAGGATGGATCCATCTCCAAGAGGTTTCTCGCTAAATTGCTTTCCGCTTAAACGGCTTAGATGTCTGCCACGCCTACTGAAGCTGCTAAACGATAATTTATTACCCTCTAGCATTCCTGGTCTCTTACGATTCATCCTTATCGCTGAAGAAGATTTTAAAAGATTTTAAAACTCGTATGACGTCACGGATGATTAGTGTGAATGCAGTTCTGTGCCTTACTAAGAATATATTTCTGTGTCTTTGTTTTTCTTGTGTCTTGGAAAGAGAAGTTGTTAAATTCACCATTTTGTGGTTGAAAACGAGATGGAACCGCATTTGTTCAAACTACGCATTTACTGTTTAAAATAACCTTTTTTAACCAATTAAACAAATGCCTCAAGATACCACGAAAATCCCCGTATATGTAAAGAATTACGGCTGTGAATCGATAAATAGGGACAGATTCAATGATTTTTTACTTAAACCTTAACAGAATGTTATTTGTTTGTATTAACATGCCTGGTTGCTTCATTTACCTATAGGTCTAGCTGTCATCTTTAAATGTATGGAAAGTGGAAGTATTTTTCTTTGTAAACACTTCAAATTACATGAAAGCTGTCTGATGTGTTGCTCATACAGAAGTGACCAGACACTTGTATGTTATCCTATGGCATAATCTAGATTGTTTGCATGTAAAGTGAACGATGATGTCTTGTATCTGGGACTCAGTTGTTTACTGTGTCCTATCTTGTATTCAAACCTTATAAATGTTGTAACCAAGGTCCTTCTGTAACTGTTTTATCCAAAGCGTACCATATCTTAACACACCACTTAGTAACGATTTTTAACCATAGGAAGCCAACCCAATCCTTCTGTTGTCCCATTCGCCGTCATCGTGACTCAGGCGAGCCGTTTACTGTTAAATTGGCTTACTTTACTAAGACATCATACATTAGTAATGCGACCTGTTGATATGGCACACACCAAATTAAACAGTCACAACTGAGAATGCAACTTGACGCCCAGGAAGGATTCCGTATTTTTGTTTGTCAACTCCGTCATGTCACCATGCGAAAAATGTATTTGCGCATGGACAAGACCACTCGGAAAGTGACCATGGATACAGGGCGAGCGAAGTAAATTAGTGAAAGTTTTGTGAAAAAAAAACATTAATGGGCAATCGGTTTACGAAACTGGTCCCAGCACCCACCATTTGATCAAAAATGCAAATACAATGATTTGATGAACTCTTCCGCGCTGCTCGTGGCTGTTAATTTTACATTCGTACTATGAAATTCGGGCATTTGTGCTCGCAAATCGAAGGCTCGTGTTAGCAAAACGGCTAATCTGTTTATTAGGCCACGATTAATTTTAAATGAATCAACTGCTTTTTAATATTTCTCACAAAAGGAAAACACTTCAACTGAAGTGTTGTTACTCAACTACTGGCATCTGCAGGCGCCATGTGATCAAAAACGTTTTTAGCAGTGTCCGGCATACTCCAGAAATTATGGATTACGATAAATCCAAATTAAATAAGAATTTAATGCATGTTGGGTATACTATTAATACTTTCACAAATCAAATTTGAATGGTTTCAATCTACTAGTACCAGCACCGTACAGAGATCGTTTCACACGCAACTTCTGTGCGTTGTTCGTTCTAACAGTTTATTGCCCTTTGCCCATTGTGTTGACAAGGTATGAAGACATGTACGTAACTAAAATGGCAACATGCAATCTTTAAATGATATGTATTTTGTGAGTTTGGTATTCTTTGATAAACAACCTAAAAGAGTAATTTGATTTTTACATGTAAGTAATAGAACGCCATGTTTAATTCGACACTCACCTTTTTTCTCTATCCTTTGTTTGAGTATATACGTTGAGGGCCGTGCTATCGTTGTGGAAATAAGGCTACAGCACATTATGCACGCAGCGATTTGCACTGACATACGGCAGCTTTTCACCATATCTGAAACCAGTAACAGTCAGTCAGTTATGTTTTTGCGGTGTAGTAGTTTTTGAAGCACGGTGTCACTTTTCAAAACTAAGTGTCCATCAGCCTCGTCTCATTCACTTTTTTAAAACTCCAAGTCCGTGCGAAAATGATGAACTTGTGCAACTTTCATGTCATTGGGTACAATGCTTTGACCACGTGCGCACCTTTTGTTATGTAACTTAAGCAAAATAAGTTCATCTAATCTCGACCAAAGACCATTTCACCGCCACGAAATGCAGCTGGAAATCTTGTCGTCTCTCAGCGTTTCCCATTCCATGAAACTCTTAGCTGATAGCGACATAGACTAAAGAATCCGTTTTTGTTCCTCGAAGCCTTCAGGGAGAGACTCCTCCCCTTTTTGGTGAAAGCTCCAACGATCTACGATCAGCCGTACTCATTGAACCTGTTCTCTTTTCTGATCTATCACAGAGCTTCCTGATCGTTCAGGAAACAGTGTCAAGCGCTCTTCTGTATGATAGCCAGTCTAATTGTCTTCCATACATATTTATATAAGCCTCCCACAATTCCCAGGAGAAATTGGCGGCTCTAAGCAATTAAGTGAACCTGTGATAGATTTACACTAGATAACAAGACTCTGACTTCATTTGCGAATGGACTCAAAGCTCTAAAACACGGGAGGGAAAGAATATCGCAAATTAATTTCTATTAAGACGCTTCTGTGTTCAAACCTTTACTTTCGACAATTTGCGCATACCGATTCTCAAGGACCCATGCGAACGCATCGATCTTAGATGATTAAGAACTAGAACATGTAATTATAGTAAGTTTTATAGGTCTTTGCTCAGTAAAAATGCCTATTGAATGTTATCCGCCCACCACTTTTTGGAGCATTACTTTTCTTCTGAACATGCATTAAAACATCCATGTCTCCTCTTTCACTTTTACATAATTGAGAAGTCTCAACGAGCGTCCATAGTTAAGGGCCTATATCTACGCTAAATAAAGCACTAAGTACAACCCACCCACCATGCCTCTAAGTTCTACTAATTTTAACAAACAGGAGGAAATGCGCCCACAAGCAAACAAAATATTCAAACGCGCTTTCAGTGCTTTACCTGTACACAATATATCTTTACTACGCTTGTCCCGTTGTGGCCAATGATGTGTCTTTACAGGGTCCTCTCTTGTTTTCTAAAATTGCAGCCCCATCTTGCCCACTTTCCTTATGTTTTACCTTTATATACGTGAACCGCGTTTGCACAACCATCCGTTTGACAACTCAATGTAAAATCGTGGGGGCTCCCCATCGTCAGAGAAATGATCACAATGACGAGTTTCCTTGCGGTAACTCCAGGAAAACGGACCTTAATCACCCTGCCTTGTGTACTGTTAGTTGACAGAAATATCCGTTTTACTCAAGATTTTGTCGTTCCTTTAAATAAGAGGCTGATATTAATTACTGGCTACAACAAGTATCCTCTAAAGAAAACACAAGGTAAAAGTACAGGGTAATAAAAGTAGATCACATATACAAAAATACAACTCGCACTGCTAATAATAAGTGTATGTTGCCTTGACAATAGAATCTGTGTAGTGTTTGAAGTACGAAAGGACAAATAGAGATATTTGTTGACTACAAAAAGGCATGTTTTAGTGAACATCTACACAGCACAGTATATTGTGTGCTGTCGATTTTTACACCCACGACTAATTGTTTTGCATTAACCTATTTATAAATATGTATACAAGCCACATTTGTATCCTAAGTTCCGTTATGTGCATAATGCACGTCTGCCCCAATACTTAAAACTCTTTTTGCCAATTCCAGAGGGTGTTGGGCAAGGCGTGAGGCATTAATCAATTTCCCTTCCAAAAAAACTGGTTATAATTAATTCATTTGGTCATCTGATTTTTCATTTGACGGCCTCTTTTAGTCGGTTTTAAAGTTCCTCATGCTCCTCTGTCGAGTTTCTCGAACTCTCCTCTGCGCCCAGACAAACCAATGTGTGGGAGGAATCAATAATACTTAAATCAGTAAAAAATCAAATTATCTAAACCAGCATCGGGAGATTTGTATCAATGATGCTATATTGGGGCAATTACAAACCATTCAATTATGCCAAAAAACGAATAAAAATTACAAGCTGCCAGAAACGAAATACCCAATAGCACGGTGATATTTTTATGTGGCTTTTGTAAGGACAATCAATGCAGTTGTGGCACGCATCTGGCAGACGATTTCTCCTTTATTGAACTATTCGTACGGAACTGATTCAAGCGGGCAAAACATGGCGAGCGACATTGCTATTAGTTAGGTCTACATAAAGAGAAAAAAAAGAAAATATCATTTTGGTTATGCTTAGACAGATAAAATTCCATTACTATGTTTGGACTTTGGGTTTGGTACACTGCTACTTCAATACTTAAGCTCATGTTACGATCCCAATATAATCCCTAAATGATAACAAAACTCTTTATTTTGACGGTAAAAGTGCCATAAAACGGATTTTCCTGGTGAACGACGATTTTTACCAATGGCTAATGGATCTTTTCCGACCTTTAATAAGTGAATTGTTATTGTTTTTTAAAGTGCTTATTTGTAATAATCTCTGAAATATTAGTACAGGGGGTATGGAATTTATTATATGTTTTGTGTTGCTACAGTGTTTTTATTGTTGACTTGAATCTGATACGAAGATTTGTTATCCCGTAAAGTTTGTGCTATGACAAACACGAGTTTTGAATGGACGGAAAATATGAAGTTGTGATAAAGTATTGAAAGTGGGATCAAAATCCATTTTAAAATGATGTATTTCTCCCCAATAAAAAAACCCGTTGTACTTTAAAAAAAAAGTAAATAGTCAGTTTGCCATAAATCACATATTATCAAATTCTCATTTGCTTGATACGGCTGCATAGCTTTCTGATGTATAGACGCTAGAATTTAGCGTAGAAGAGACTATCAATGGAATCTTCGTCACCTTAAACGTCACCGTGTCGCAACAATTTGTCTTAAATAAAACTGTTTACACAGATTCAGGGAGTCAAAGGTCAATTGCAGGTGGAACCCATCGGAAAACATCTGACGCATTACTTTACGTTATACATCTACCAATTTCAACATATCTTGTTCTTGTTAAAGGACCAACGTCCTTTTAAATCGGTGTCGTAAAACCTTATACCATTTATTGAAATTCCTTTTGAAAGTGCGGAGCGAAATGGCGATTTCTTAAATCTTTCATGAAATACCCCGGAAATCTCCAAACAGTTACAGAGTCGATTCAATATGCAATGAAAGCTTAGTATATAACCGATAATTTTAAACACATGCACACAAACACACACGTTCACACACACACACACACACACACACACACGCACACAAAATCAAAAAAAAAAACAAAAAAAANATCGGTGTCGTAAAACCTTATACCATTTATTGAAATTCCTTTTGAAAGTGCGGAGCGAAATGGCGATTTCTTAAATCTTTCATGAAATACCCCGGAAATCTCCAAACAGTTACAGAGTCGATTCAATATGCAATGAAAGCTTAGTATATAACCGATAATTTTAAACACATGCACACAAACACACACGTTCACACACACACACACACACACACACACACGCACAAAAAAAAAAAAAAAAAAAAAAAAAAAAAAAAAAAAAAAAAAACGTGAGACGTGGGAAGAGTCATCAATGGAGAAAGATCCGAGTTCTTGTGACCAGTGCGACAGTACAACTGAGGAGCAGGGTCTCAGTGAGGGAAGTAGGAAGGAGGGACATGTTCTTGTATTATCCATTAACAGTGTCTTGTCATTTTTATAGTATAAAACCTACGACTGGAAAACATGAGCAAATTCATTTTGTATTGTAAAAAGCTTTAGATCTAGTGTTTGAACTGGGCACCATTTTGTATCTGATATTGCACCTTTAATGGGGACTATAGTCCGGCTGCTCTGTCTGTCTGTCTGTCTGTCTGTCAGGCTGGCTGTCTGAATGGATGGTTGGCTCTATGTCCGTCTGCCTGATTAGCAATCTGTTATGTAAACCTGACTATCATAGTGGCTGGCCATTTTGCCCTTACCTTTTCCCAAACGTTTTTTGTTTTTCTCACGCGTAGTATTTCTCAATGCTTGAAGGATGCTGCTACTGACAAAGATTTTTTTTTTTTGGGGGGGGGGGGGGGTTGTACAAGTTAGATAGGCCTGTCGTTTAAAGAAGGACAGTACCCTTCTGATTTTTCGAAAAAAGGAAAGATTTGCCTGAGAAGCAAGGAAAACACTTTTCAATTTGTTTCTGTTAAACTTATTGTTTATTAGATGAAGGACACAGGTAAACATTCCTTTGGATGTCCAGCTTATTGAAATAAAGATCAATATCTTTGTCACGCTCGCTGATGAGAAGAATGGGTCTATACGATCATGTGGCTAACCCCAAAAACGCATTGCGATAACCGTTGCGATCTCTTTGTGCATTCTTTTCACTTAATACAGAACTGCACGTTCCCAAATGACACAAGTGGGATGTATATAAAGTTTGACATTTAGCAAAATGGTTAACCGAGGCTATAGGAAAGACGGATCAGAAAACAAGTGAATAAATTGAACATTTCCTTGCACCTACGGATCCCATGTTTTCAAAATCCTGATGTACATTTCCAACAATTTCTCCTGTCCAAAGGGCGTGATAATGTTTTGAAATAGACTCTTAAGGATAACGGTCGGATGAGGGCGTTAGGGAGAGAAGCAGCAATGTTAAAACGCACTGTATCCAACACCTATGCAACTGACCAGCATGACATCGACAAACACGAAATAATATATAGTAATAGGTTCTCTGAGAGCGTATACAGAACAGCGGACTAACAGAACCGCGGATCAAATATGGCCGACCCACTTGAATGCTTGTTTCGTAATTCCCGCCGGAAATCTATTTTCAGTGTCTTATCGGGAATAAAAGAGATAATAACTCTTTGTGAGAGATCTTTATCCCTTTGTGTGAGATCTGTTTTTACAGTAAAAACATTGTAAACAACTCATAGAAATATAATATGTTCTGTTTTACCACAAAAACGGCAGTTATAGCTATTTTTCTGATATCTGAGCTTGTCATCGGACCACATGACCTCCATACATGGCTATACTCTGTAACAATCTCTAAAGAGATTTTTACAAAAAAAAAAAAAAAAGAAAAAAAAATTAGAAAAAAAGGGACTTACTTTGAATGTAGAAATGGATTCATTAACCATTAGTAAGTATGGGAAATTTGCTGTTTACTACAGGAAATTTCATTTTTTGGCCAAAAGGAATAGTTATTATCCCTTTAAGCAGCAAGCTTTTTAGTGGGTCGCCCTATTAGATCTGCGGATCTGTTAGGCCGTATTCAGAACAGTGGACAAACCAGTTCTGGGGTCAAATATGGCGACCCACAAAAAAGGCCCATTCTGAATGGATGATCCGAGAACTAACTGATCCGCCGACAAAATACGACCGACCACAGTTCAAAAGCGATGCCGCTGATTCCTGATGCTCGCCCCTACCACACGCGCCTTTAAACGGATTAAATCTCTGCTCCGAAGTTTAATTGCTAGGCCCTTGCAGAGACGGCTCGTGTGAAAGCGGGGAGGCCATCAGGAACCAGCGACATCGCTTTTCAACTGTGGTCAGCCATATTTAGTCGGTGGATTAGTAAGAACTCGGATCATCCATTCTGAATTGGGACAAAGCTTGCCGTCTAATCCGCTAACAGACAATGAATAGATGCCTCGTGGGGAAGTATTCGAGTGTTCCGGCCATATTTGACCCTCGGACTAGTTAGTTCACGGTTCTGAATGCGCCCTGAGAGGAGGGGGTTACGTATCTAATGTGCATCTATCTGCACACTGGTATCTGAATGCTTCTATCCCCATGCCGCAGTTAACTACATAAAAATATGTAAATACATTTGATCCCCAGCAGTCCTTTCTTAGCAACGCAGTTAGTGTCCATTAACAATTCGTCCTACTGTTTTATAAAAAGTCTTCCAAAATTTTTATTTAGGTGACCTTCACATATTGTTTAAGACGTACTGAAGTGGTAACTGTAGTAAGTACCATTAAATGATGAAAAGCTAATCGTTATGTATAACAAACAACAGATTAGAGAAGAGAAATTTTCCAAAATTCCTAATTTTGCCCATCTACTTAAGATGACATCTTTTTTTCAAAATCAATCTGATTTGACAAAGAAAAATTGTCAAGAACACATAAATGCAATGTACTTATCATTCTGACCTTATTCCTCAATGTCAGCTCTCTTGCCAGTTCTTGGTCTGTTTCCGAAATCCCGATTCCCTGTCGTGGAACAATGGTGATTTTCTGCTAGATACAAAGGCATTTATCTTGACTTAAAAAAGAGAGGATGAACCAGAGATAAAGAGAGCATCCGACAATGCTTCCGACCGCAGCTAAAAATGGGGTTTATGTAGCTACGCTCCGCTTCTGCCCAAACAGACGGATTCGGACAAGCGGGGAACAATTAATAAATGGCCAATAATTGTACGCGCATCTAAGTTTTTTTCAGGGACCGTATACTAAACACTTAGTTCGATGCTGACATCTATTCCGCTTACATCCCAAGTCCATCCTTTCAACAAGGAAACATGTCAAGCAGACGATGGGTTAATTACACAAAATCATTGCTTAGCCATATCCATTTTACGCCACTTATCAGTTGTACAGATGTGTCAACAAACAAGATATACCGATTCACCTTTCTTTGGTTTAAATTTCAGACCACGGGAAAAAAATTAGATCATCTACAGTTTATCTGAATGGTTAACACAATGCAACCGGGAGTTGTGGGAGGTAGTTAAGATGGAGTGGTGCGTCTTACTCTTTAACCATTCAAAGTAACTTCTTTAAATGCTAAACACGACTTATCATGTCAGAAATGACTGATGAGAATCCTGTGGAGAAGAATTAATCTTTTCTGCAACCTCTTCAGAGGGAATGTTTGTGTATTAATCAAAAATATTGACTGCTTATTTCCGATTATAGTAACAGCTTATAAATCAACTGAAATTATCAGAGACGGGTTAGTCTTGGAAGTCGCCTGAAAATCATCATGGAGTTACATTCAATGAATAATTTTCGTTGATATATTTAGTAATGTCTGTCTGACCACGTCATCACCTATGAGTATGGGAATAACTATAACGTTGGTAGACGTCAGTGCAAACGAAATAATTACGACGTCAGAGGGTCCGATAGACTTGGTAGTTGCCTTTTAATGTTGGCGTTTATGGCTCTCTATTATACAGTTCCTGAAAACATCGTTTTTATATGAATATATGTACGCCCCCTTCTTCACTTCTGCGCAAGGAATTAACTTCTTTGCGCAGGAGCTCTCGCAATGTTCTGAGTTTCATTCTTAAGAAACGTCAAATATATATCACTTGTGCACGCCTTGCCAGACCACTTTAAAAATGAGGAGGATTACTTGTTCAAGGATGGGAAAGGAGGAGATGAATTAATGATTGCCCTGCAATTTTTCAGTACACATAAAGACTTATAAGTATATAAAGAGTTAGAATGACACTATGAATTTTACTAGATACACTATATATTTCGCCCGGGAGGAACGATGTAAAACAAAACAGCCTCAAGCAAATATAAACATCAGATACTTCTTGTCGGGGATAGAGGCTATCTGAACTGCGGTTTTGTTTTATTTAAGATGTGTTGCCCAGGATTTTCTTCAGGTTGCTAACAGCGGTCCTTCACCCAGGCTTTAATTATTAATTTCGTTTAAGGCTAAAAGCATTTCATCAGAAGTAGCGCAATTCAAATCGACATATAATAATAGGAGTCATCAATAAGTAACACGTGTCAAGATGCAAATACGGAACTGTTTTCTCTGTATAGAAGACCACTTTCATTAATTGTGAACTGAACATTTTATTGTTACTTCAGCGCGAGGTCTTACTTTATTGACAGCTACAGAATTCTAGGTCATTTTCAGCTGTGTTCACACAAATGTTTAAAACAGAATCGAACAAAACGCGAAATTTTGGGATCACATGGGGACCAATGGGGTAAACGTGTAGAGACAATTTTGCCGAATTTGTCCAATTATGTCAAGAGCTGCGAGCACTCAGTGGCGGGTGTTTTTGGTTAACAACAGTTCATGTTGGGTTGGGTTCTATGTTTAATTAACTAAAACTTGTTAAGTGCTGGTCAAAAAAGCCGCTTGTCCAGAAAATTAATCAGGAAAACTTAGTTAAGTCAGATCGACCTTTAGCGTCTTCCAAGATTTGTAAGCAAAGTTATTCCAGAAGTATAGTACATTTGCTAGGTCCTACATCGTAAAGTGAGAACAACATATCTATGCAGCAACAGGTGGGTTCTTGACACAAAACATTGAATTATTTTTCGTACATTTTATTTGAGTATCACTTATTTTATTAACATCGTGCTGTGGGACGTGCCTCAGAAATCGTTTTAGTAACAGCTGTCAATTTTGCAGATTTACAGACAATATGAAATATAATCGGTCGGATACTTCTTGTAAAGGCTTTAAACAGCATTGCAAATTTTCTCTTTCTTTCTTTTTTTTCCCCATTTAGTCAAAAAGTTATTCTTGTCATAGTACATGAAAAAACAATCAATCACCCAAGATCTTATCATAGTGTAAATTTCAAAGCGCAGGCATCTATGGCCTCTTTTTCATTCTCTATTAAATCAGAGAATAATCTCATCAGCTGTGTTGTTATAAGAATAAAGAATTTTTTTCTTCAATCACCAGCTAAATATTGAAAATTGTCTACCTACAATATTTCATCACATCAAGAAGACAGGGGGCCACTCCCTGCCTATACCTGCCTTTCCTAAGGCAATGTGTATGTGTGTGTGTGTGGGGGGGGGGGGGGCAAGTTTATTTCCTGAATACAGGCTTTTCACCTGGATAGACTCATTCCGTGATGAATATACTCTGATAGACATTAAAATATTGGAGGTGAATAATTTTTTTATATTAAGCTGTTGATTGCAGAAAAAATCCTTTATTCTTATTCCCTATTACGTTCTTAAAAAGATCAATATTTTTCGAAAATGTCCTGTCATACAAAATAGAAAAAAATATATTCCCTGTCGATGGCACTCACGGGATAATTTGCACTTCGGCCCAACATTTTGCTTTTTAGCTGGTGTTAGGATAATATCATTGACAGAAAAAAATCTGTGAATCTAACTCAAGCTGAAAATGTATTGTTCATGGTACCTAAAACAATTAATTTTCTCGGCTCATTTTTTTCTTTTCTTCAGCAAAGTGGAAATTTAGCACCTTAGCAATGGTAAATCAGGCATACCATTTGATTTTTTTCTTTCTAACATTTTCATTCATGAACCAAAAGCAGTGCGAATAAAGGAATCAGAAGCCGTGAGTGATAACCTAGTATAGCATTCACTAGCTGACGGTCTTTTCTCTGGTTGGGACTCCCAACATCGCTCCATGATTTCCTTCCACTCTTTCGGCGGTGGACTTCGGTTTCGCATCGTGAATTCGGGGCGCATGCCGTCCAGGACGTACTGCATGAATTCAAAGTGATTGGCATGAAGATCGGGGAAGACTTTAACTCCGTACCACATCTCCCAGAGAATAAGACCGAAGCTGTACAAATCTGCCTGTTTGTTGTAGGCCATGCCAGCAAGGACTTCAGGAGCGGAATAGGCAATTGTCCCGCACAGTGTTCCCGTTATCTGGGACTCAGCCTTGGTTAGCCCGACATCGCTGAGTTTCAAGGTGTCTTGTTTTGTCACCTAGAAAGGCAAAAGTAATCTATTATGTTGATGTCGAAGAAACAGAATACACAAAGGGACATGAATACACAATGGTGCCAACATTTTTACACCTATTGTTTAACCTATTCCTGAGATTTTTGAGGACTACTCTGTTTGCAACCAAGTACAAATGCCATATGCCACATACGCCAGCGCGTAAGTGCTTGAAAAGCAGTGCATATATTTCTGCATGGACCTTAGCTCTCACTTCGATTGTCCGACCGTTTATTTCGTTAAACTGATTTCTGCAAATCTCAAAAGCCACACAGTGCATTGAACTGCAAACCCACACTCTAAGCGTATCTACTCTCCACAGGCTAAAGTTTGACAGCGCCATTAATGGTTGCATTCGATTCAATGCTCGTCTTGAGACAGGATCAATTACAAATTAGGCCTACGATGGCACTTAACATTAGCATTACAATTTCGAATTTTCGCTGAGCAGCATGAATATAAGACAAAGTTGTTGGGACGATTTGCTGTAGGCTAACAAACGCCTGCGCCAATTTAATTTGCAAGACATTGCCCAGCAGTTGTGATATCGAACATAGTTTTTGATTTTCATTTGAACCACAAAGGTCTACGAGAAACATCTATCAAAAAAGAAAGAAAACCATTTCTGCATCTACAACAAAGCCAGCCGCTAATACAAATGTAGAAGTATGCAGTAAGCACTTATGCAGTAAGCGCTGCATGTAATAAATTTTATGTACAAAGAATATATTTTAAGTAAAATCACATAAACCACAGGCTACGTGACCTTTTAGCGAAAACAAAGCTTCGACCGAACAAGATAAAAAGCATTTCAATCGATTTAGCCTTGGGCAATTTTTACCTATCAAAAATTTATTACTTCGTAGCACATTTTTGTACATACGTATAATGTGTCAAAAATTTAGGGAACGTTTTAGACCATAAATGAATTTCCTTGTTGTTTTCAAAACGCCTCATGTTAAAACTGCACATTTGTTTGTTTGTTTTTTGTGTGTGTATCCAGTTAAGTAGTTCAAACCATTTACATTAGGCAAAATGGACATATAGAGATATTATGGTAAAAGGTTCAGCACGAACGCAATTAGTAATTATTTCTTATAAAGTTGTGAAGATCTCTCTTAAAAAAGCAAGAAATTCTCTTCTGTCTAAATTAGTCCAAGATCACAAGCAAGTGAAGCTATATGTGTTCAATCAGCTATCAAAGTGCCGCGGCAACAGAGCGTGATAAGTTAAGTAAGAGAAAGCATTTACTCTGACCAACTTACGTCTTCGTCGTTATCTGTTAACTGAAACGGCAATATTAATCAAGTAAAGTGATAAGGCGGAAGGGTATTGCTCACCAAACGATTACAGCATCCACTAAGTCAAATGATTGCGGTGAAATTGTTTGAATATATGCATGTCTGAGTGCGTGCGTACGTGCGTGTGCGTGTGTGTGTGTGTGTGAGATCCAGGAATCAGTCTGCGCCCCCACCCCCAAGGCCTGCAAACGAATCTGTCTTGATAATTGTTTTTTTTTTTTTTTTTGTAGTGTTTTTGTGTCTTGTAGTGTTTTTTTCGATCACTTGTACTACACTTAAGTAGTATAAGTGATCGAAAAAAAAAAAACACTACAACAAAATCCCTGACAATCAACGGTAGAGCGTATATGAAAGTTGGGTCCCCAGATCACCCAAAGCCAATCGCCAATCTGCACCAGCTGGCACACATTCAAGAAAAATAAAACGTCTGAATATATCTGAATATATATATATATATATATATATATATATATATATATATATATATATATATATATATATATTATGGTAAATATATATATATATAATTTTTTTTTTTGATAAATAAATACGAAAAATGCCAGATACAGTTTGTTTCAATCCTGTATCTATGACAGACACGACAGATGTTACTGACCAGAATATTATCCATCTTTAAATCTCTGTGAATGAAGCCCTTCTTGTGGATGTAGTCGATCGCCACCGCCAGCTGTGCCGCCATGTTTGAAACATAGGCAAAAGCCTTTCTCTGCGCCTCACCAGACCATCTTGCCGGCTGCTTATTCGGATCTTTAAAGATGGCCACTTTCAGGGTCTTGGCGCACAGCTCTGTTATCATAATCAGTCGCTCGTCTGGTTCCGTCTGATATATAGTACCAATGTAGCCCACGATATTTGGGCTGCCCTGAAGTCGACTGGAAAAAAAGTAAAAGAAAAAACTGTCTAAAGTCTAAAAAAATGATGTAAAACTCGCCAAAATCAAAAGTAAATGTACAAATTACTAGAGCGAGTTTTTTTAAATTAAGGTAATTGTCAACCATTATCTAATCAAATTACCACAGTATCAAATATGTTTTCTTGGGTATTAAACTTTGCGATTTATGTGTAGATTCTCTCTGTTTAGGATGAACGCTTGTATGTTTATTTTCCTTTGTAAGTATTACATGTCAATCGGCCTTGATTTTTTTTGGTATAGGTAATACTATTATATCTTATCTATGTACATTTTGCATGCAGGCTATTATGCATGTGCATGTGATTTCAATGAATTATTCCATACAGCCCACGCTTGCACTGATAAATGGTTAACAATCTCCAAAACCAAAACCCCTGAACTTACATTAAAGTGTCCTCTTCCATAAAGTAGTCACCGGCATTGTGGTACTTCAGGGCTTCCTTCATTTGTTTCAGAGCCACCCGCTGGACTTCCCCATTAATACGGACGCTGGCGTCGTATACCTCGGCAAAACTTCCACTGGCAATCCATTTCTTTTCGATAATGTCAGATTTATGGATTGTAAAATGCCTCATATAGCGAGCGTGGAACAGTTGAATGCGACCGTGCAGCCTTTCACACTGTTTATACAGAGGGCTGAAAATTCGGACTAGTTCTCCTTCACTTCGCTCATCGTGCACAACGTCCTCGATCAGTTTTCGATCAGCGTCGATCAGGCGAGGGATCAATTTTCGAATGTGTTCGATGATCTCACGCAGGCTGGCCAGCTGGATTTCGACGACCCTCTCCTTCAGGGCCTCAGAGTCTAAATCTTCAATGGTTTCTCTGAACCATTTTTTCATTGTTCCAAGTTTATTTTGCTTATATTCGCGGAGTTGTTTGTCCTGTTTCACCTTCTCGCGGATGGCTATGCCCCCTATAATAGGTAATGCTATGATGGTGGCCACAAGAGCGAGAGGCACCCAAAGGGGGGCTGTAAGTCCGAGGACTAACTTTTCAGTCGAATTAAATAGCGGCTCGTCTGTCATTTGCGGCAGAGCATTTTGCGCCCCGTCCCCCGAAAACCCGTCGTCTTGCAGGCTCCCTTCGACGCGGCGCAGTTCCTCGTCCAGAAAGTTGAACTCTCTCTTGAAATATTCATAGAGTTCTTGGCGAGCTTTGCTGAAGTTGTGGTTGGCGCTCTCCCAGTCTCTTACCTCGTCTGTGATCACTTTTTGAATCATGGTGCGCGCGCGGTTCTCAATGTCGTCCATGTCGTCACCATCCGGAAGTTCCGCCGTGTTCCACTCATTCAGTCGCTCCATTGTGGAAGGACTGGAAAGAAACTGGTGCAAGCCGTCCACGATCTTTTCAATTCTGTCGTCAAGAGTATTTGTCATTTTTAGGAGGACGTCGTCAGAGGTTCGCTGAAGTTTGTCAAGGCGTTTTGTGATTTCTTCCTTTTTCTCCTGCTTCTCTTGCATTGTTCTTCTGGCGTTCATGATTTTTGTTCGAATGACGTAAGTCAGTCTACCGACAAAGAACTCGATCCACCTGTTTAACAATAAAAGAGATCGTTAAATTTTGAATTGACCAGAACATTTTTAACTTTTATGTTGTTTTTTATCATTCTCTTCTGCTGATTCTTTATACGGCTTATTACATATAAAACGGACAGATCCCCGTTTTATGAATATAAAAGTCAACTTTACTTCACNTTGCGCACAGCTCTGTTATCATAATCAGTCGCTCGTCTGGTTCCGTCTGATATATAGTACCAATGTAGCCCACGATATTTGGGCTGCCCTGAAGTCGACTGGAAAAAAAGTAAAAGAAAAAACTGTCTAAAGTCTAAAAAAATGATGTAAAACTCGCCAAAATCAAAAGTAAATGTACAAATTACTAGAGCGAGTTTTTTTAAATTAAGGTAATTGTCAACCATTATCTGATCAAATTACCACAGTATCAAATATGTTTTCTTGGGTATTAAACTTTGCGATTTATGTGTAGATTCTCTCTGTTTAGGATGAACTCTTGTATGTTTATTTTCCTTTGTAAGTATTACATGTCAATCGGCCTTGATTTTTTTTGGTATAGGTAATACTATTATATCTTATCTATGTACATTTTGCATGCAGGCTATTATGCATGTGCATGTGATTTCAATGAATTATTCCATACAGCCCACGCTTGCACTGATAAATGGTTAACAATCTCCAAAACCAAAACCCCTGAACTTACATTAAAGTGTCCTCTTCCATAAAGTAGTCACCGGCATTGTGGTACTTCAGGGCTTCCTTCATTTGTTTCAGAGCCACCCGCTGGACTTCCCCATTAATACGGACGCTGGCGTCGTATACCTCGGCAAAACTTCCACTGGCAATCCATTTCTTTTCGATAATGTCAGATTTATGGATTGTAAAATGCCTCATATAGCGAGCGTGGAACAGTTGAATGCGACCGTGCAGCCTTTCACACTGTTTATACAGAGGGCTGAAAATTCGGACTAGTTCTCCTTCACTTCGCTCATCGTGCACAACGTCCTCGATCAGTTTTCGATCAGCGTCGATCAGGCGAGGGATCAATTTTCGAATGTGTTCGATGATCTCACGCAGGCTGGCCAGCTGGATTTCGACGACCCTCTCCTTCAGGGCCTCAGAGTCTAAATCTTCAATGGTTTCTCTGAACCATTTTTTCATTGTTCCAAGTTTATTTTGCTTATATTCGCGGAGTTGTTTGTCCTGTTTCACCTTCTCGCGGATGGCTATGCCCCCTATAATAGGTAATGCTATGATGGTGGCCACAAGAGCGAGAGGCACCCAAAGGGGGGCTGTAAGTCCGAGGACTAACTTTTCAGTCGAATTAAATAGCGGCTCGTCTGTCATTTGCGGCAGAGCATTTTGCGCCCCGTCCCCCGAAAACCCGTCGTCTTGCAGGCTCCCTTCGACGCGGCGCAGTTCCTCGTCCAGAAAGTTGAACTCTCTCTTGAAATATTCATAGAGTTCTTGGCGAGCTTTGCTGAAGTTGTGGTTGGCGCTCTCCCAGTCTCTTACCTCGTCTGTGATCACTTTTTGAATCATGGTGCGCGCCCGGTTCTCAATGTCGTCCATGTCGTCACCATCCGGAAGTTCCGCCGTGTTCCACTCATTCAGTCGCTCCATTGTGGAAGGACTGGAAAGAAACTGGTGCAAGCCGTCCACGATCTTTTCAATTCTGTCGTCAAGAGTATTTGTCATTTTTAGGAGGACGTCGTCAGAGGTTCGCTGAAGTTTGTCAAGGCGTTTTGTGATTTCTTCCTTTTTCTCCTGCTTCTCTTGCATTGTTCTTCTGGCGTTCATGATTTTTGTTCGAATGACGTAAGTCAGTCTACCGACAAAGAACTCGATCCACCTGTTTAACAATAAAAGAGATCGTTAAATTTTGAATTGACCAGAACATTTTTAACTTTTATGTTGTTTTTTATCATTCTCTTCTGCTGATTCTTTATACGGCTTATTACATATAAAACGGACAGATCCCCGTTTTATGAATATAAAAGTCAACTTTACTTCACGAGTGCGACACTTACTTATGATGCTTCGTGAGTTTGGTTTGAAGACTTTTAGGAACCAGTTCCTGGATCCCGTCCAGAAGTTTCTGGTATCCCTCAGTAAAACCTGCGCCCGCTCGTAAGTTTCTGAAAGCCTGGAAATGACAGTGTGTGGAAAATTATGGCGATGGACAATCACAAGAAAGACAAAAAAATAACCAAAAAGATTTGTGAAAACTAGAAGCTGAGACTTAACAGACAAGAAATAACTTTGATCAATGTGTTATTTACTGTAGTATAGCCTTGTGCACACTGGGCAGTATAAAATTAACCATTTATTAGCATAGCACTTGCAAGAGATATTATGAGATTCTGTCGTAACTGTGATTTGGCAAAACAATAGACAAAATAAATATTTAAAATACGTCCATAACAGTGGTTCAAATTTATGTTGAAAAAACGATAACGCCAGACAATTATATAATTTGTGCAGAACGATAATAAAGTGATGTGCGCCATCAGCAATACGCACGTGGGACTCTGAACACGTGATAACCAAAATGTACACAAAAATGTACACAAACTTACCTCAGTTACTGACAGGTAAAACACCTGCTTTTCCGTCAGACCCTGCCAACATCTCATTAATTTTTCCAGAGTCTTCTTTCGAACTTCTTCCTCTTCGTCAGGTGGCACTTGGTCCCATTTGTTGAAAACAAAAATGGCTGACTCGGGATCAAACATTTGCAGTTGGTCTCGGTCCTTCGGGTCGGTGAGAATTTTCAGAAGTTTTTCGAGCTGAAACATGTAAAGAATTACCACTATAGCAAGTTGTAAAAACACTGTCCGTGGGACAGTTGATGAATATTGATGTGACGTAACAGGTGAAGTAGATTTTAATTATCATCGTGCCTTTCATTGGTGGCTAAATTTGGTGATTTAAAGTGGTGAGTTATCAGAAAAAGGCATCCCAATGAAACTCTAAAATAGTACAATATCATCGAAATCCTGTATGTATTTGAAAACATTGACAATTGTCAATTGGGTTCAGAAATCCTCCTGTAAGTTCTGACAAAGGATGCATCTTTATATAAAACATGAAAAAAATTAATTATGTGGATTTAAGTGCCATTTTAACAGTAGTCAGAGTAACTGTAACAACACGCACACGTCCTTCTTGCACGCCGCCAGCATTTCCACTGTTGATGACGTAGATGAAGGCAAAGGCTTTTGGAAGGTAGTCCATCACAACCTTGTTCATAAACTCGTTCTCTCCAACACCGGGACTATCTACGATAAAAACATTACCCTGAAAATAAGAGTCATTATTTCATAAGATGATAATATATATAATATACAGCAGTTTAATACTATAAATCTGTAATATGATATAGAAGTATTTCACAGTTTAATGAACCACGATTGTTTAACCTCTTTCAAGAACAAATTGCATTTATTTAAGAGATTTTCAAATCACGACGACGCTCATTTCATGTTTGGGTGGCAAATCCGAACGTTGTATAGCAGAATATAATGGTAAAATCAAGCAATAATTAAACAGCATTAGCACTGTACCAGCTACATTAATTGACATTGCGCTGGGTCTCGCCTCAAGGAGTACAATTCCGCTTAAAATTGCTGTCTCACCTGTAGCAATGGAATCGGCCAAAATATTTCTATGAATTTATACGTGTCGGCGGCCCTTTCTTTAGAGTTGGCGTATTCTTGAAGTTGGTCCTGAATAGACGAGTCTCCAGTTTTCTTCAGGTCGAATTCAATGGTTTCCCTCCCAGTGGTAGGGTCGGGTTCCATCAGATGGACAACCGCTCGCTTCCTGTCGTCGTTTTTCAACTGACAGAGAGTGGACGTCGTGCTCAGTAGAGAGTAGGGGAGAACCTCCTCCCCTAAGAGTAGATTCAGAAGGCTGCTTTTTCCCGCTGATGTCTCGCCTAAGTATTTTTAAAACAGTAATATGGAAATAATGCTTTAGGAATAGGGGTGACTTATTGGCGCGTAACACTATTACTTGTCACTTCTCTTCATCCAAAATCAGGCTAATAATTTACCTTCACATAAACCCTTAATTTCGAACAGTTTTTAAATTTAGTGCCATTTTTGCTATCATAAGCGTCTGAGCCAAAGTTCATACATTTCTATCTATATCTATATCTGCATCCAGCATACAGAAGTCATATAATGGCAATCAATTATCAATTATCAACAAATCTGGCAATATTTACATTTTTAAAAAAGTTCTCATTCGACTTTATGTCACAATCACGCCCGGTCTAGTTCTTATCATATTTTAGAGATATTTTCAAAAACCACAATATATGTCAGGTTATCAATGTTATCGCTTTTAAAGGACTGAATATGATTCATTTCAAAATGATAACTCCCCTCAAATCTATATACACGCACAAGCACAAAACATCATCCCAAAACATCCAAAACATCCTCCCTATTTTTAATTTTCTGTAGAAACCTCACCGGCTACCAAGATCGGGCACTCGTCTTTCACCAGTTCGTGGTTATACTGTGTTATTTTAGCGATGCAGTTCGGAATTGCTGTCTCCACTTGCAACTTCAACTTGTCGTCGACTTTATTCATAAATTCTCGGAGTTTTCCATACACTCGTGAAAGTTCCTGGCGTTTCTTGATGTCTTCATCAATGAGTTTCTTCATCATTGTACTGGCCTATCACAATAATAATAATAATAATAATAATAATAATAATAATAATAATAATAATGATAAAACAGTAACTAAAAATGTGTAAATTTGTCTATCAAGATTAGTTGTAGACCTAGAAAAAATCTAGCACACATTTATGTATAATTAGCCAAGTTATTGTAACTATTTACCCTTTTAAAGGGGTATTATAGAACCACAAATCTGCAGTGCACTTTTATTAACCAACTTACCGGTAGTCTAGCTGTTTGTTTCTTCAGTTTGAACAAGAGCAGATTTTTAATGTCGTCCATAGTTTCCAAGTCCCCGTAGTCAATCTCGTGGAATTCACAGAAATCCATGGCCCCCGTGATGGAGGTCAGACGTTGCACGTCCTCCACCGTGTACTTGAACGACATCCCGTCACTTTGGTCAGCCATTTTATGCTTCAGTTCAAACTGAATAATAGAAGGAAAAGAGAAAGAATGAGTTGAATAGTTTCATAAGCTATGTGTTTTGAACAGAGCAGTTAAGTTTCATTTACCAATAGCTACAGAAAAAAATTAACTTCTCTTTGCCAATCAGTATTTTGTCTGCTGACAGTCAGACTTCATCAAGAAAGTGGTGAAAATCTTCCGTGTATGAACAAATATTTTAACTGCATCACCTTACGAACCTTTTTACAACTGGAAGGCTTTGGGGATGACTTAAAACTAAGTAAGGCATAAAGTTTGTGGTTGATAAGTGTCACGTGATTTCGGCACGCCATGTTTAAAAGCATGAACATTATTATAATGTATAAATTAAACCGAAACCGGGAATACGTAAAAGCGTTCTAATGGCGAGGATTTACCTTGACCTCGTTCAGGTACATTTTCTTCAATGAATGAAAAAGGTAAAGCTGTCGTTGGTAATCGAAAGGAAAAGTATCGAAAACGCAATTAACAGCCATTAATGCGTCCCAGATGCCTTTAAAAGCTAACACAATTCCTTTTTTATAACCCTGCATTTTAAGCCAAAAACATTAATTTATATGACGACATCAGCCGAACAACTTTTGGGGATCCATATCGAAGTTCACATATTATACATTTATCTGAAATATCTATTTGGCAATATTTCAGTTCTGAAGGTGCTTTCTATGACTGGTATGCATTTATAAATATGTATGTTATTGTGTATTAGTGCTACCCAGTCAAAATACATTGCCCTCTTCACTTTCATACATATGAACTGGACTTGACGAGGAAAACAGTTAGCAAACATAATCATAAACAAGCAGAAAAACAAGTTACAAAAACAATTTTTCTTTGAGTTTTATTTTGACATTTAGGGCCCTTGTAAAAAAAACACCTACACTTATGCCTTCTTAAAGGAGTAAAAAAACGCTGTGAGTCTGTAAGTCAGAGAAAAATTACATCAGCTGATTTATGTTATAAGAATATATATACTATAGATATACTTGGTGGGGGTGGGGGTGGAGGCAAGTATATCTCCTGAATAGAGGCTCTGACAGACAATGAGATATTGGAGGTAAACAATTTCGATATTTAGGCTAATTAGCTGTTGATCGAAGAAAAAATACTTTAATCTTACTATGAGGCTGATGGGTATATGAAATTTATTATTAATTCATATATTTAGTACATCCCACTTATCATGAAATGTCGAGGGAGGGGATATGACGGATAATCCCCACCGTACCCCTTTTCTTGATACAATTTTCCTTCGCTCAATCGCCGATAATCATGTAATGCCCCACTAATACGTAACGGATTCAAGAGGTCTAATAACAAAATTCAGCAAGTGTCCTCTAATCAACAATTTAGGATTTTGCGTTCTTTGTAATTTAATCTTCCTAGAAGATGTAACAACTTTACATCAAATATTTACCGATTATAGATGCACCACGACAAACAGACCATAATCAACATCACAACAATTGTTATTGACGGGTCTCCCGATTAACAATTATTAGCTATAAGGTCCACGCACGTTTTACATTTAAATTATGCAGGGCTGACACTTAAACTTAAGAAATAGAACATATCACTCGGGGTTTTAATCGCTGTTGAATTAGTGTTACTTATTTCATATTATTTTGATTCTCAGTTCATAAGGAGGGAACGACCTGTTATCATATCGGCCTTCACTTACCACGTGACGAGCAATATTACTTCCTACAGCTGTTTAAGGTTCTCGTTATGTCACACCAAGTCCCCATTTATATCTGCAGGTATCAGCTTACTTCGGCGAGAAGTTCTTCAATCGGTGGCCGTCGTCGTTTTTCTGCTGTGTGCTTTCATCAAACACAAAACTCAGTGGTGGCTGGGTAAACTGTTATCAGTAGCGAGACTATCCTACTATCTGACTGCTATTGTGAACTGGTGTACGTATTCGTTATCAGCATGGACATTAATCTGCCTTACGTATGATTCAGCTGACTAGATGATACATGTTGATAACCCGTGCTCAGAGATAAACAAAAAACTGGCGACGATCTCTGTTTTCCTGGCTCAGGTATTGTAACGACTGAGCTGGAGTGGGTTAAGTAAGGCCTCTTCTCCTACCCGGAAAACTCTCTTAGCTGCACGAGCTGATTATGACTCACTCTCCCATGCTATGGATTTTCCACAGCTTCGGAGAACTGGGGAAATTTTGCGTGGACTAAATTTAGAAGTAAGGTCACGAGATTTTATTGAATCAGACTGCGACCTACTTAGAAGTGAGATAAGGGTCCTCTATCATGCCTTGATACCACATAGCGTATTTGGAATGTATTAACATTATACATGATTATAACTGACATATAGTTTTCACGCAGTTATTGAACCCTTAATGGCGACACCGGGTCAAGCCATCATTCCACATTTAGTAAATATCGTACCCAAGGAACAGAAGAAATGATCGAAAACGTGTAACTTTCATTGCTGGAGACGCGGAAAACGAGGCACTGATGGCGGCATCAAGTCAACCAAATCTACAAAACCCGGAAATTCTCTATTCAAGACATGAAGTCAAATACGAAACTTTGCCCAAAGATATGGAAGGGTCCGATCAAAAAGATGACCCCGCACTGTCCGAAGACGCGAGAACTTTGCTGGGCCTTCAAGACGAGGAGATCGATCGCCTCACATTAAAACAGACGAGAGAATTCATCAAGAAATTGAAGATTGCCACAGCTAATGTGACAAAACTCCAAGAACTAAGGAGAAAGTTGAAACTGTATGTCTTGGAAAAGGAGGGGAGAAATCGTGGAAACCATGTATGTATCATGTGTTTTGATAAGGTCCAGAAGTTTTTTTTATCACATTGTAGACTGCAGTGTACATGTACATGTTTATACATCAATAAAGTTGAATCTCAGTCTGCACTAGTGGAGCCGCAGTCGGTGAAACTACTGAACCGATGTATGTGCATTTGTATTAATCAACATATATCATTTTGAGATATCACTCCTGTGTGTAGGCTAAATAGATAACCAAGAGGACTTATTAAACACTGTCTGACTCAATTTTTTGTTTTGTTTTCTTTTTCTTTTTCCTTTCTGACATATTACACGCTCNGCACGCATCATTCAAAATTAACAAATAGCACTGTTTTATTAAACTTCATGTACTATGAGTTTGAAAAATGCACAGGAAGGCCATTTAAGAGCATTTTCTATTATTCTTACATTGACTTAAAAAACCGTTACGGAGGTTAGGGGTTACTGAGCGACATTGATTAAACTATGACGGTGACGTAACTAACCAACAAATTCGACAGAGATCACCATGTATGATAAAAAGAAACATGAATTCAAATTAGTTAGGGACTAAAACACTAAAACACGGGAAAATATAAACTTTTTCTTGTGGCAAATCAGCTATAATACCGAAGCGACACGTCGAAATCGTGCTTTTTGCGGCATATAGACCCCCGGGGTTCCCGTCAAAGCAAGTGGTACTATATTAATTGTTGTTTTTTAAGTAGAACACATCGGGTCCTGCTAAAAAAGGCTAAAAAAAGCAAAATTGCAGATGCATTTACTACCGAAAATAAGCTGCGACAGGTATTATTCAGAATTGTACCCTTTTTCGTGGAATGGCTGCCCAGATGCCATTAAAAGCTAACACAATTCCTTTTTTATAACCCTGCATTAATTGTTATAACCCTACCAAACGCATTAATCTATATGACGACATCAGCCGAACAACTTTTTGGGATCTTAATCGAAGTTCACCTATTATCCATTTATCTGAAATATTTATTTGGCAATATTTCAGTTCTGAAGGTGCTTTCTATGACTGGTATGCATTTATAAATATGTATGTAATTCTGTATTAGTGCTACCCAGTCAAAATAGATTGCCCTCTTCACTTTCAAAGATATCAACTGGACTTGACTAGGAAAACTGTTAGCAAACATAATCATAAACAAACAGAAAAACAAATAAAAAAATAATTTTTATTTGGTTATTTTGATATTAAGGGCCCTTGTAAAAAACAACTACACTTCCGCCTTCTTAAAGGAGTAAAAAAAACACCTTGAGTCTGTAAGTCAGAGAAGAATTATATCAGCTGTTGTTATATTATAAGATTATATATTTACTAGATATACTTGGTTGGGGTGGGGGTAAAGGCAAGTATATCTACTGAATAGAGGATCTGACAGACCTTGAAATAATAGAGGTAAACAATTCTAATATTTAGGCTAATTAGCTGATATTGAAGAAAAATACTTTAATCTTACTATGAGGCTGATGGGTATGCATTATTTGCCCTAGAAGGAACAACAACTTTACATCAAATATTTACCGATTATAGATGCACCACGACAAACGGACCTTTATCAACATCACAACACTTGTAATTGGGTCTCCCGATTAACAATTATTAGCTATAGGGTCCACGCACGTTTTACATTTAAATTATGCAGGGCTGACACTTAAACTTAAGAAATAGAACATATCACTCGGGGTTTTAATCGCTGTTGAATTAGTGTTACTTATTTCATATTATTTTGATTCTCAGTTCATAAGGAGGGAACGACCTGTTATCATATCGGCCTTCACTTACCACGTGACGAGCAATATTACTTCCTACAGCTGTTTGAGGTCTCGTTATGTCACACTAAGTCCCTATTCATATCTGCAGGTATCGGCTTACTTCGGCGAGAAGTTCTTCGATGGGTGGCCGTTATTTTTTCTGCTGTGTGCTGTCATCAAACACAAAACTCAGTGGCTGGATAAACTGTTATCAGTAGCGAGACTATCCTACTATCTGACTGCTATTGTGAACTGGTGTGCGTATTCGTTATCAGCATGGACATTAATCTGCCTTACGTATGATCCAGCTGACTAGATGATACATGTTGATAACCCGTGCTCAGAGATAAACAAAAAACTGGCGACGATCTCTGTTTTCCTGGCTCAGGTATTGTAACGACTGAGCTGGAGTGGGTTAAGTAAGGCCTCTTCTCCTACCCGGAAAACTCTCTTAGCTGCACGGGCTGATTATGACTCACTCTCCCATGCTATGGATTTTCCATAGCTTCGGAGAACTGGGGAAATTTTGCGTGGACTAAATTTAGAAGTAAGGTCACGAGATTTTATTGAATCAGACTGCGACCTACTTAGAATTGAGATAAGGGTCCTCTATCATGCCTTGATACCACATAGCGTATTTGGAATGTATTAACATTATACATGATTAGAATTGACATATAGTTTTCACGCAGTTATTGAACCCTTAATGGCGACACCGGGTCAAGCCATCATTCCACATTTAGTAAATATCGTACCCAAGGAACAGAAGAAATGATCGAAAACGTGTAACTTTCATTGCTGGAGACGCGGAAAACGAGGCACTGATGGCGGCATCAATTCAGCCAAATCTACAAAACCCGGAAATTCTCTATTCAAGACATGAAGTCAAATACGAAACTTTGCCCAAAGATATGGAAGGGTCCGATCAAAAAGATGACCCCGCACTGTCCGAAGACGCGAGAACTTTGCTGGGCCTTCTAGACGAGGAGATCGATCGCCTCACATTAAAACAGACGAGAGAATTCATCAAGAAATTGAAGATTGCCACAGCTAATGTGACAAAACTCCAAGAACTTAGGAGAAAGTTGAAGCTGTATGTCTTGGAAAAGGAGGGGAGAAATCGTGGAAACCATGTATGTATCATGTCTTTTGATAAGTCCCAGAAGTTTTTTTTTAATCACATTGTAGACTGCAGTGTACATGTACATGTTTATACATCAATAAAGTTGAATCTCAGTCTGCACTAGTGGAGCCGCAGTCGGTATCAAGAAACTACTGAACCGATGTATGTGCAGTTGCATTAATCAACATATATCATTTTGAGATATCACTCCTATGTGTAAGCTAAATAGATAAACAAGAGGACATATAAAACACTGCCTGACTCCATTTTTGTTTTGCTTTCTTTTTCTTTTTCCTTTCTAACATATTACACGTCCAATACTGTTGATGTTTTTTATTATTAAAGGCCTCTAACATAGTGGTAAATATCCAAAAGAAGGATGAATACAAAAGAGAGCAACTCGCGGCTTTGTATGAAGATATCGAGAGAACGTCGGCCAGCATCATCAAAATGGAGGAAGACCCGCTTCCCGGGCAGTTAGAGACGAGCATTCCAGGGTTCATGGCCAAACTGAAAAAGGAGAAAGAAAGACTGAAGAATAAGAAATGCCCAATTCTCTTTGCTGGTGTGTAGTGAAGGATAAGGCTATACATTTTAATTGGTTTGCGTTATTTGGTCGTATTAATACAATGGATTGATTATAATATATGAGTTGAAAATTGCCTCCGCCCCCATCTCCAACTCACAGAGCTAGATATTATCCATGCATATTGTGCTAGTTCATCCCTAACTTGCTTTCTACAACTTACTATGGATAGTCAATGAAACGATTATGTATTAGTGGTTATATTTGGATAGGAAAAACTATCCAGTACATGATCTAACTTTCTCTATTTGATTCAAATTTTTAAGGTGATTGTGGTTACTTTATTTAATATCCATAATATGATGTTTTTTAATCATAGGTGAGACTTCTGCAGGGAAAAGCTCTCTCTTGAATCTGATCCTTGGTGACGACATACTGCCTACGTCACATCTCAGTAACACGTCAGTGATTTGCGAGATTAGCTATGCCGAGCAACGTAGGGCAAAAATACACTACTGGGACGAGACTAAAACGCCCGATACGATAGAAGACGGGGAGGACTTTTATGCAGAATTGGCAAAGAAGATTCACACAAAGGAAGAACGAAGCAAAAAGTGGCCGTACAAAAAAGCGGAAATTTTTATGCCTCTTGATATTTTAAAGGTAAAACTTTATTGTACAGGTACATATTAAAATATAATTTATATATGTGATTAATAAGGTAAAACGTGGATGATCAAGAATGATATTATTCAGACTTTATCACCGTATTAATCCGCCGTTAGATGCATGTATTTGCGTGGCAGTAACTTGTACAGTATACATCCACAATTATAGCAGTCTTACTATTTTCCAGTCAGGACTCTGCATCGTCGATAGCCCAGGAATTGGCGAAAACCAAGAAATGACCGGTCTTGTATTGGATTACTTGGTGGAGGCATTTGCATTTATATACGTCATCAATAGTGCTAATGCCGGGGGAGTACAAACGGACCGGGTAATGCGCTATAACAATTTGATACGAGGATTTTGATACGTTGTATTTAGCATACATGTACCTATTTGGACCAATTGAATAATGTTTTCAGCACCCTTACAAGTTCTTTAGGCACCACCCAATGGTTGAGCTTATAATTATTAATTGCTTTTTAAATTGAATGTATTTCCTCATGACTGAATGATATATATCAATTAATTTGTTAACAGCTGCAAGCACTCCTTCGCGAAGTGGCAAACAGAAAAAGTCCAGACGAACAGCAATTATTTCAAGCCAACGCAGCCATTTTTGTCTGTAATAAGTGGGATCAGGTATTATTATAAGATAGATACTAGATATTATTATAAAACACCCATAATATAAGCAACTTGAACAACTTGAATTTAGAATCAAAGATGACAGACCGTTGATTTCCCATTCTTAAAACATATTTATGAAAACGCGCTTCGTCATTAGGTAACGAGGAGGATGGGATTATAGTGGATTAACCACCTTGTCTAAAATATTTTGCAATATTTATTATTCTTATTATTGTTTTAAAGGTGCTCCAATTCTTTGTTATATTTTGATGATAAAGAAAATCTATTTAGTAAGAGTTACAAGAAGAATATCCTGCTCATTTTGCTTTAAAAAGATGACCTTACTGCAATTTTTCCGTATTATTTAATTAGAATTGACTATATATTAAAACAAATGAATTATAAAATTCAGGTTCCTATCAAGGAGCGGGAGCTAGTGAAAGGAGATACGCTTACTAAGTTGCAGACATGCTGGGACGGCTGTAATGCCAGCCAACTCTTCTGTATGGATACTGCTGAGGCCAGTTACTTTTACAAGGCTGGATACATTAGCCGCGATTTTGGTAGACTTTTGGATGGAATAGAGCATCTTGTACCGATCAGTTTAGAAAACAAAGTGCTCTTCTCCTACGGGTGCGGTTATTTAATTTCTTAGTGAAAGGTTTAGTAAACGAGTTTGAAAATGTCCCGAGACCATTTTTCCTTATGAGGAAAATTGTATTTAACACAAATTTAAAGTAAAGAATACCTTTGAATGCTTTTGATTTATAGATTTTGTGAAATTGAAAAACATCTTGATAGATTTACATTTACCTGAGCACATGAGTTAAAAGGAAAAACAACGACGAGGATGGGATTCGAACCCACGCGGGGAGACCCCAATGGATTAGCAGTCCATCGCCTTAACCACTCGGCCACCTCGTCAACTCTTGCTTATTATTCTGCGTCTTCCAAAAAAAAAAAAAAAAAAGTCAAACTACTGAATTTTTACCATACTACAATTATATGTAACTGTTATTATTTTCCAGTTGGCTGTACAATTTTGTCACTCGGGTTCTTCACCACTTGCAAGCGTTTCTAAACCAAGCTCACAAGTCTAAAGTTCAGCGCATGAAGACGTACACAGATATCCAAGATCGTCTGACAAAACTGAAAAAGGAAGCTGACCAATATTTTGAAGAATTGAAGGCAGAGATTGAAAGTATGTCAGCTTGCGTAGAATTTTAAAAGCGAAATGTTGTTAATGGTATTAATGTTGACCATCAACCAGCTCTGTCCGTTTATTTATTTAGATTATGAAAAAGAAAATGCAAGTTATAAATGTTTTGTAGAATGTTGGAAAAAGTGATTTGTCTAATTTTCTGCCTTCTTAATTTTGATATTTCAGGCAGGTTTGAGTCTGCTCTGGTTACTCTAAAGCAATATTTAATGAAGCCCGAAATTAGAGAACGAATTACAAAATGGACCGAACCGCAGCAGCCCAAGGGTCACAAGTGGGCAGACGTGGACACAGCCATCCGCGAACGTGTGGTCGAAAGAATCACACACTTACTAGAAAAATGGGAAGACGAGCATAAGTTTTTCAAGAAGCTTCGACCAGAACTGACAGAAAAGTTCACCAGCCAGTTCAGAGGTATTGAAAGACAACTGACCGGTATTGAAAATATGATTGCGCGCCATGATACTCGCTTGAGCACAACTTCCCATAAAGACCCAGGCGAACCTGTGAATGAGGAAGAAGGGTTCTTTCCTTACGATCTGTCCCTTAAACTCAAACATAAAATCATTCTCGGGGTAGCTGCGCCAATTTTAGTCCCTGTCGCAGTGGCCGGTGCAATCATAGCGCTGCCCATTTTGGGCGGGCTAAAAGTCAGGCAGATGATCGATGCGCGACTTGCGGAAGAAAAACTGAAGAAGTACAAAAACGACCCTATAAACTTCCTAAGAAAACAGTCGGAAAAGGTTTTGGATGAATTTGTGAAAAAAAGTAAGGCTCTTGAAAAATACGTCCGCAGTGAGCTTAGCCAGGCGTACGTCTGCTTGCAACAGCTTCAGGAGGCGGTGCCTCGCCAAATTAAAGCAGACGAGGCTCAAATCTTGTCCCTAAAAGACGATCAAAGAGAGGCTTCCGATTATCTCCGTTTTTATGACCCTCTCAACGAAGTGTTCGTCTCCTTCAAAAAGAGGCTTTTGTATTTCAAAACTATAGCAATCAGACGCGAACTCAAGGACTACGAATTCGATGATATCGAAATCCCTAAAACCCCGGAGATAATATGTGATAGTCTGTATTGTACGATATTCAAGGTTGTGCTACGGAAGCCTATCGGTTCACTACAGACCGGGTCTACGGTGTGTCTTAGGAAGTGTCATGTCCCCATCTCACACCAGACGATACACGATCATCTTGGAGTTGAAGAAGCTTACCAGTAAGTGTCAATTGTATTTCACATAAAACAATCTTTAAAATGTAAGAATGATAATAATAATGAACAAGAAAATGAAAAAAGTCAACCTGTTGTCTTTTTCAATCCTGGGTCCGATATTGAGAACGGTGACTCATTATATTTTTTATTTCTAAATTTCTAGATAACACACTTCATTTTAATTAAAAATCTATGCTAGGGGAAATATAAGAATATATATATATGAAAGCTGAAATTGCATTTTGGTGTTTTACAGGTATCAGCACCATGAAAATCTCGTGAAGTTTTACGGATCCACGCGAGATTTCGACAATGTGTATTTTATCCTGGAGCCTCTGCAATGCAGTCTTCGTTGTTATCTTCAAGAAACCCCAACCGTCGACTGGGACAAGACGGACGAAGAGAAGTATATGGTGTTCCTTGAAATAATGCGCCAAGTAGTGAATGGGCTGGAGTACCTTCACTCCCGGAGTATGCAGTGGGTCCATTATGATTTATCTTTGGACACTGTAGCGGTAAGAATTTTAAACATTCAGATTTTTTTTCATTCGCGAAATTTTAAATTTACAGTGTATATCGATTTTAAAAGTATGTTAGTCTTTCGGTCTGTTCACTAGACATTAGTCACGACATTCTTCACTAGGTGTCACTGCTGATAAATTTTCACGAAGAATATGTAATCCTGTATAGATGAGTTTTCATTATATTATATTATATTATATTATACAAAAGTTCACAATCCCCAACCCATTATTTCTTTAAAAAGACCCCTTCAGGTTCAATGAGGCCAAGTACATTTCATATACACTACATGGTGTTTCCATAAATTGAGATGACATTAAATATCAGTGCCTTTTAGGCCTTCATGTGTTGCAACTTTCAACCTATAAAAACCGAAGTAAATATGCCACCAACTTGGACACACTCACTTATTTGTTTTAGATGGATTACAAAGACACAGTAAAATTGACCAACATTGGCCACCGACGGATGCTAAAGATAGATCCCACGGAGCCGAGGGAGAATATCCTCCGTTACTCCCACCTCCCGCACGAGGTCCTTGCCGACCCTCCCACCACCTATACTCTGACCTCCGACATGTACAGCGTGGGGATCATGATGTGGGAAATGTGGACTGGAAAGAGAGCCTTCGAAGATGAAATAACTGCTAACCCAACCAAGTTTCAGACCATGTCAGACTTCATACAGTTCTGCGAAGACCGCAGGCCGGGGTTGGAGTATTTTTACTCCAACGGGGCCAGCGAGGTGTCATCCCGCCATGCAGAAACTTGGCTGAAGACCCTGAGGATTTGCTGGGATCCCGAGCCCTCCACGAGACTCACATGCAAAGGCTGGTTGGCGCTGACCAGCAAAGATAGTATGCTCTCAGACGGTCTCTACATTCACGAAAAACATTTTTAACATCTTGGGGGGTTGGACATTTTAAATAATTTCTCATAGACTGGGTGTGAGAAAATTGATTTAATACTTTTTTAAAACGGTATACTTTCCAAAAGAGTTAATTTTACTTGACCGGTACTAAGTGAAGGGATTTTTTCTATTTTGGACTGATGAGTTAAAATGTTGAACAAAAACAGAGGATAAAATACTCGCACACGCACACCATTGGTTAAAGTTCAACTTGGTTAAACCTAGGATCCACTAGTTTTACCCTATACCTAAATCTAAATTTGCTGTTCTGATTATTTTTTTCAAATTAAATTTTTATGGCAACTCGATACAAAATAAAACGGTGTTCATGTTTAACATTTGGCTTAATATGAGAATTGGTCTTTTTCTCTGTTTGATTGGTTTGATAATACGGTTTAAAGACATAGCCGTGCCCGTTTTACCTTTGCAAAACATTAACAAGAATACCACGAAAAATAATAGTAAAAGTAAGTAGACATTTCATTCTGAAAATATGGTGTTCACTTACTTTTTTTTTTGTTTTGTTTTGTTTTATTCACACCCTGAGCTTAACATGAAAGCGCATGTAATTGACCTTGGTAATAATGGTTTGTAAAGCAGTGACGCATTTCTCGTTTAATGAAATTTAAAACAATTAGTATTCTTTGGCTAAGTAAATATTGACATTATTTTGCATCAAATTTCATACAAAAATCAGTTCTGGCTTTTATGTGGTAAGCCGTGATGTTTACGAAAAAGACGGCCGTAGTTGCTAATAGAGAATAAAAGGAACGATTGTTGTCCGCCCGCCCGAACAGGCAAGCTTTGAAAACTACAGTTCATTGGTTTCACATTAAATGCAGAAAGTTGTAAACATTATCCCAAATTGCGAGCAATACAAAGTTATTGTAAGTGATTGTGCGTGAGAAAAATACAACAAAAGAGCCGCTTGGCGTTGTAAGTCGCGTTCATGCCACCTGAGCTGTTCCAAGCATTGATACCACTCCCTTGGCCAAATTTGCAAGACACGTATATTTCAATACCGCGTTTTAACTGGTGTTTTAAAACACTGCAGTAACAGTTCAGATCCTTTCTTGTTCATAGGCCCCCTAAAAGCGCTTAAATCTGGTTTTTAGAATATATATCTGCACACCTTTATAGTCATAGATAAACCTTACATTGAATAACAGAAAGACGTAAATGGAATTTTACTTCAAAAGAATCAAGGAAATAAATCAAACGCCACAATAGCTTGAAATTTTCACGTAAAACAGTTAAGATATGGTTGATTGATTTATGGGACTTTCGCACCGGTCACCAGTCACTACGGCAACAATTACGGGGGTGGCACGCATGCTCCGAAACAGCCCGACTATTTACGCATTCATTTGTAAGGGCCACATTTGTTAACCTAAACAATTTACAATTGTTTGAGTTCAGAACATCAACAAACTGTTGGTAACCACTACATTTTCATTGCGTCTCCTTGCGACGTTTTAGTAGGAAATCGGATGTGAAGGATTTTTAATTCTTGATGAGGAAAACCAGATAGTGCTCCCATGTCTATGATCGACACCACATCGCGGGTAAGTACACCAAGTTCAAATAATATTATTATGAATGAAAACAGTGGTGTATGAGGTTATCATTCTAGTAGTGTAACAATAACGTGGCTCGAAAACGTGGTGCTGTATGGCAGTCTGTTATGGTGACGTTGGGTTTCAGCTTGGACCCAATCCATGGTACACTAGATCACGGTTCCGAGGTTTTAGTCTATATTAATGTATATATGAGCCCAATACATAGAGATGTGTCTTAAATGAAGAACTGAACGGCACAGTGAGTGGATTGCATCTTGGGTGGATAGGACTGAATGGGGAGAATGAATATATAATCCGATGTTGTGTTTCCAAGACTCATTTATGGATTCTTTGTATTGTGCGACTTTTTGTGAATTTTGCTGTTGGAACGTTCTCTATAACATATGTGCAGTAATAATAAAGTTAGGTTGGTGTTATGCCATCATTGATGCGATCATTCAGAGATTCGGTGATGAAAGCAAGAGAAGTTCGGAAACGAAACGGAAAGTTTGGACACATGTTAATCGTCGAGTGATTTTTTGCCCATTGTGCAGTGACTTATCTGGTCCTCATAATAAGAATTAATGTTATTCAAAGGTGTAATTTTTGTAATTGGTTGGGAATTCGGCAAATAAAACGTCCACATTTTACTATGTCGACAGTCTAACTTTACTTCCCCAGTTTTTGAAATAAAATCCCACAAGATCGGTCAATTCAGGAAGGCGAGGTTTTAAAAAAATCGTCGAAGCCGACATTTGGTTTGTAATAACAAACTGGGTCCAAGAGTTTTTTTTTTAACTCTTTGTGATACCGATAAAATCTCTTGGCCAATGGAACCTACGGGGGTTTTAATGCTGCCGATAAACATAACATGATACGTAATTCCTTTTTGTTTATTATCACGTTTACCATAGAAATGGTGCAAAAGTAGGCCCTGCTCCCGTGGCTGTGGGGGGTTGTACCTTATCTTTTGAGCAATATTTATAATAAGATTTACAATTCTGCCGTACAAGATAAGGCATAATTATTTAAAAATTACGCCAAGGTTTTAAAGAGATTAGTGAGTGCAAGATATCGAATGAATGCATTAATTCTCTTATTCGTTTGCGAGGTCTTGAAGTGCGTGTATTGAAATGAAGCATTCAAATCAAATGAAATGAAGAAAATCGAAGATGCGTGATGATAATACAGAAAATCCACATGAAGTGTGTTGTGTAATACTTTCTTCCACTACTATTCAGACAAACGTATTTCGATATGACTAGCATTTGATATCGACGTTTGAATTCATTTGGGATTTTAATGTTTACAGACATTTCATAAATGAAAGTCTACAGATGATTAACATAGTATGCTCATTTATTGAGCATGTTAGGACATTGGTTGCATTCGTCAATTTACTGTTTTTTAATGCCTGCAAAATCACTTTTCGTTGTTTAATCATTAACTTTCAATGTTGTTTCTGATGACATATTTTTAGTTTTGTTAAATGATGCGAAATGTAACGATAAATAAATGATATTGAAATGAAACTGAATCCGTTATTTTGTTTCAGCTTGCTTTTAGCAAGGATTACCGGTTGCCCAAACCGCAGTACCGATTTGAAGATGCGGGGGACTACAGGCAGCTTATGGTGTCAGCTAGGAAAAGAAATGGTATTTATTTATTTATTTATTTAATATCACACATTAAATCATTGTCTCTTTTGTTGTATAGTTTCATTTGGTTAAATAATCCAGAAAATATTTCTGTAGCATAGAGACAATAAAACAGAATTCCATGCCAAGTTTTCCTATCGAGTTAAATTAAACGTTATTACAGACAATATTTCTAAAATACATTTTGCTGATTCCAGAGACGGAAGCAATGCGGAAGTTTTGGAAATCGCTGAAAGGATTTAATCTGAAAGGGCGCGATCTCCAGCTAGACATCGTCCCTCGCTACGAGACACCGCATTTCCCCGCTTCGCCTGGACCGCGTTTTTCCAGTTACATTACTACTTACGATCTCCTAGGCCCAACGCCGGCAGAGGGGAGAGCTCAGTCTGCACTATATCGCAGGTAATGTGTCACGCCTTGTTTTCCAAAGAAAAGTAAATTGCTTATATCTGTGACTTGAACTAAATAACATAAATTTTCATGATACAGATCATGATTTTCAACCAGACCTCAGTAGTGTTTATCACGCTGACAAATAAGAACATTTTTCAAAAGAAATAAGCTCCAAATATTTTGTGATAGGCCTATGTCCTCTGATTTTTAGAAAAAAATATATTATGTTTTATATGTTTATATGTTTTATTTCAGAAATATCCAAACACCTGTCACTAACATAGCACGTGACTACAGTCAGTTTACCCGCGCCCCCTCTCGGAACCGCAGACCTCACACAACGTTCAGTGAGAGAGACGCACAGAGTCCGTGGTTCAAAGAAATACGGAAGTGAGTTCACACTAAAAACAATCACTCTTACCGTTTGTCTCATTTAAGTGAAGTTGAAATAACTTTGAAATAGTGTAAATAGAATTTTGCAATATGGGTTTTATTATTTATTTATTTATCGTGTTCTCAAAATGATTTGAATTTACTTAATTTGCGACTTTGACAGTCTATCCTACATTACATATTCTGGCTACCATACAGCATGAGAATGAATGGAGTCATCATTTATAACAACAATCTTTATTATAGAGATGTCCCAGAGCGTGTAGCGTACACTATGGACATGGATCCCGATTTCGGGAACGATCGTCTAGCCGCTCTACAACTCCCACCAGCCGTGAAAAGCCGGGAAGTCGTGTATTATCCCGCTGAATATAGTGGTCGCAAAGAATTCCACATTAGTCCCGAATGGAACTCGGAAAGACCGCAGTGGGGCGGTATTGCCAGAGAGGGGCACTATCAGAAACGCAATGAAGGGCATTCCCAGCCAAGCACTGGGAATTTGTATGGCGCTTACTATGGCACAGTGGGGCCAGAGAGATACGACTTTGCTCAAAATGCTTGGAAGTAGTTAGGAATTAACATATTAAATGACGGATACATTATTTCTGGACACGTCTTATGAGATTTCTGCCAAAGTCATTTCTAAGACGTTTTCCATTATTTATTTAATTATTTATTTATTTGTTTATTTATATTTGTGAACATGTTCAAGTGTCTACGTGCAAAGAATGTTTTTGCGAAGGTGATAAATGTTATTCTACGCAGAGATAGAGAGAAATCTATATAGTATGTATGAAGTATTTTTTACAGTATTAATTCAAATTTTTATATGACAATGGATAAATCATTAATGTGTTTTATTGATACAAAAACGCATTCCACCACATTGATTATTTTAATATTTGTTTGCGTATTTGATGATAAGGTATATATGATGTGATATTGTTGTTGTTGATATTATTGCTATTTATATTTGTGCTATTTATAACTTGTTGTTTAAATCTCCATTGTGTAGTTGGCATTTAATTCAGGTAATCTTGGTTGGCCTCAGGACATTTAAGAAAGGGGGACAAAATAATTTTTTACAACCATCCCTGTATTGATATGTAACGAGAAGTGTATCATTCAATGGAGATCTGTATGTTTTTGTCAGTCTGTGTTTATTTGTAGCTAATTCCATTTTAGATCGAGTACAGCAAAGGTTTGTCAGTCGTAGCTTGTAGAGGGGTAGGGGCCGGCATTGGAATATTGGAAATAAAAATTGTGCAATTTAGCGCAATTTAGCTAGTAATTGGAACCTGCTTTTTTAGGCTCCACTGACATTTTTTCTATGTTCTGTGAGGCCATTTATTTCTGATTCATCAATAATTTATTTCATTTACGACTAAAATTATATGTAACATTTTTCTATATTAATAAAAGGATGCTAATCTATTCATTTATCACATCTTTCCTTTTTATTTTTCATCAAAAAATTTGTAGGGGCTTAAATGAAATATTAAAACGGAAAGGTCATTTAGGGTGTACGAGTTGGGGGTGTTAACTATAGTGCCCTCCCCCACCTACGCTTCTGACTCTTTTTAATCACGTGTCAGACTTTAAAAGCCTAAGAAGCAGGGCGATAAAGGGTCCTGTCCGCATCTCTCTCTGCGGTTTGTCTCTGTGTCGTTCATCGGGTTCATTCAGAACGTTGCCAGTCATGGTTCTCCATAGTTCTCTTTCTTTGGCGTTTCTGATCAACTCTTTTTGTTTTGAACTCAGTTTAATTGTCTTTAACTTTTTAACTCCTATCTCCGGGGTATTGATTGAGGCTCTTTGTGAATCCCCACTTAACATGTAAGCTAAACATATACTCTTAAGTGCTGATTTTTAAAAATAGGTTAAAAATGTATGTCGCAAGTAAATACCTCAACCAATGCCCAACTTCAGGAAGTTCAGCTGCATGATTCTGCTGTCATCTGACCTCCTCCTCCCTCCGTCTATATTTGTATTGGTTAATTCTCCATTAAAAATGCTTCTTGCTCGCTTAAATGTACCGTACTTTGTGAAGAGGTGAAGATTGTTACTTGAGGTGAAGATTTTTTTGTTGTTTTGTTTTTTTGCTTTAAACGTTTGCACTTAAAATGAAATAAACCCATGCAAAATTGATGCAAAGCGTTACAATTCAGAGTAGCCTCTTTAAACCGATCTTGTATCCAAACAAAACAGGATTAAAACGAGGCTTTTCGTAGGAGAGAAACACTTGACTTCTCAAGGTCGTTGCGCATGCGATTATCTGTACACGTGGGGAATGCATCGCTGAATACGGTAAGTTTGTAAGGTAAATGTAAACGGTAGTATACAGATATATTTTCATTTTAAATCAATAAAAAAAAGTATATTTGAGATGCTCTCTGTTGCGGATAATTGTGTGAAGCTGGATGTTTTTGGAAGACCATAATTTCAACAACCGATTGCAGAAAATCCGATATGCATGTACCAAAGTACCCCTTTTCAAATGCAGGCAATAAGGCCGCAAAAAGGCAATTAATTTTAATGTTCAAATTACCGTGTGGGTGTGAAATATTCTAAAGTATTTTGATTGTGATTTTTCAATTGACAGAGGTCCCCCCTCCCCCCCCCCCCCCACCGTCGCCGTCCACCACCTAGCATCTTAATACTTAATCCAAATTACTGAAAGTACAGTAGTTTAGAATGGAAATTCATTATTAGCGTTAAATTTGTATATAATGAGCTTGTAATGTAAGTTGTAACATTGTATTTTGTTTGGTACACATATTTAAAGGATATCTATGTTTGTATGATGAATGTTGTTCGAACATAATAACCCTAAAGTAAATTTAGAGATGTTAGATCGTTATAATTCTTAATCTAAACAGGACACAAATGTAGTGTAAATTTAAATTATTAAACACACCTCTCACATGCAGCTGTTTTCCTCTTTCATAATAAACTCAATCCTCTTAACACTAAATATATTAATTTGAAACACATGCAGTAATGCTATAATAACCATATGGGCAAATAGTGTTTTTCCTTGATAAAAATAATTTATCAGACCTTATTTCACTGCTGAAGGTTGCAAGATAGTCCCGTCGTCACGTGTACGGTCCGTTCTGCGTGAACCATCAGTCCTGACCGATTGTACACGCAGCAGACGCGTGTATGAGCCGTTCCGTGAATGATCCGTTGTTAATTCACCTGCACTGTTATATTCGGCTAGTTCATTTCCTACCTCATTATACATTTACTATGATGGGGATATTTCTAGGTAAAATTCATGTGTTAATTGATAATTTTGATAGAGAATCAGCGTCAACTTACCGTGGACGGGCCGTCGTTATTCAGCTGTCGTCCTACTATTTTTGTATTGATTTTACTAGGCTAGTGTGTTGATATGGCCACCTGAGGGTAATCGCAGTAGAGGTGATCATCTATAAGATATGAAGACTTCCAAAGATTATGTCTGAATTTGCAGTATGTCCTCAACAGTGCATGTTTATTAAAGGCTAAGAATATATTGATGACTCGACAGAGACGGACTGTACACGCCGGAAGCCTCTCAGATTTGCCTGCGCTTTGTGCGCATGAGCAGGATGGACGGTTCACGCTCCGAGCGGTACACGCCACACCGTGTTAGCAGATAGGTGATATCTTAAAGAGATAGTCTGTCAAGTCTCCTTTGTTCAGCCTCATATTTTGCAGGTGCCCCTTTCAGTGTGTATACTAGTAATTTAGGCATCAGTGTGACTCGTATTATAACACTGCACAGTGTAGCATCTTATATGCAGGGTGCAGAAATAATAAAACTGAAACTTTCCTAATATGCACTTGGTTTAGTTAAGATAGTAACTACATATCTACATGTCAACATTTTAGTTATATCATTTAATGCTGTTATAGTATACTGTATGTTCTAATGTTAATATTTCAGATATGCTTAATTTTCTCTTTTTTAGATGGAAGAAATAAGTTCCATTGCAGTGGTCAGTCCCAGCATACTTGAAGGCAAGAAGAAAAAGCTAAAAGGAACCCCAAAAAGTATCAAGAAACAGAAAGCACCAGATGTTGAAGTCAGAGAGACACCAGAAGGAGATATTACAAGGAAGAAAAGCAAAGGGAATTTGTTTAAGAATACAAACTTTCCAACTGACAATACAGTTACAAAAAGTGGTAAAAAGAAACAGACTAAATCACCAGACACTGTCTCAGTAAAAAATAATAAACAGAAACTAAAAGTCACCCCTGAGAAGAGAAAAAGTGATACAAGTTATGATGGTGATGATGATGGGAGTACAAAAAGTACCCCAAAGAGGGTGAAATTCACCCCTGGGAAGCACAGTACCCCACAGGAGACCCCCAATGACGTGACAAAATCAACACAAAAATCTGTTAAACAAAAAAGGACTAAAAAGAAAGCCAATGTCAGTTTAAAAAGTGATAAGACTGGCGATGGTAGTAGCACTGTATCAGAGCCCTCTGGTGTGAATACATGGGCCGAGGCTCTTGAAAGGGCACAGAATCAAGAAACTGATGTCAGTTGGGAGCAGGCTGTGGCTAAAGCTAGGGGGAAACCTGATGGAGTAGGGGAAGGAGAGGCAGAGAAAGTTGGTGCTGGGAAGAGCAATAGCAGAGAAAATGTCTCGGAGAAAGGGCAGAAGAAGGTTGAATTTGAGAAGAAAAGTAAAAAGGAATTTGGAAGCAAGGTGAGTTGATGCACAAAGCCAAACAAACAAACAAATAATAATAATAATAGTAATAACTCAGCACAATTTGTGTGCACCTTATATGTTGCATATGCTATTTACAATGCAAAAATTTGTCTGTTAGATATGGCTAAGTAGTTTTCTAAAATACTTTGTGACATGTTCTTTTATGCATTGTCTTTTGTCTTAAGCAGGTGATGAAACTTGCAGGCAAGACACTCAAGACACTGACTGGTAAAGCGGCAAAAGAAAAAGAAAACAAAAATTCTAATAAAAGGAAAAGGGAAAGTGATGCAGCTGGGAAAAAGGAAGATGGTAACTTTTTTAACAGTTTTTATATCAAGTTAAAGGGATAGTGTATGTAAAGAAGCAAATTTTGATTTTGTGGTGACAAAATCTTTCTGGCAGATAAACAGATGAGCATTTGAAATTCTGACTGCAATTGTTGTAAAAAAGAGAAAAAAAACCCCTGAAGAATGAAGTCCGAGGTCATAAACATAGCCCTATAATGTTGAGACATGGTAATGAATAATTTTGAGTAACAACTACAGGTGAGCCAATAAAAAGATTTACTTTCTTTGCATGTACAAAATCTTACAAAACATACAAAAACAGGAGTGGCTCTTGTTAACTTGCAAATTTTATGTGTAACTTACCTCATTTCAGATAAGACAAAGAAGCCCAAACTGGAGGAAATGTCAAAGAAAGATAGAAAGAAAGTAAGGAAAATGCAACGGACAAATTTTGAAGTTATTCAGCAGACCAAAAAGATATGGGAGTCCTTAAGAAGGTATTGAAAAATTTTGAATTGAATCCATCGAATTTTAATTGGTCTTTTTACCATTTTAATCATGTTAAGGCATCAGTAAAAACATTTTATTTTATGTACTTCTTTCTAAAAATTTTTTGTGCAATTTTAGTATGAGCAGTCTGATTGGCAAAAGACACTAAGATTAATGTTTGTTTCTCACTGATATATTTTCGTTCTAGACATGATTTGAAAGCTGAAGAAAAAACAAAGCTATGTCAAGAGCTGATGAATATGGTGCGTGGAAAGGTCAAAGAGGTTTGTATATAACAATTATATATTTTAGTTGTATTTTGCTCAGGTATGTGATGTTTAATGATGTGAAACTGTTGGCTGCCAAGATGTTTAGCTAAGAATTACTGTCGTTTGATTTTACATTATATATATCCTAGAAGTGTAGTCTCTCATTTGGGGAGTTCCCACCTCACATGCATTTGTCTCAGTGATGACCCGATGACGAGACTGACTGCCAGTAAGAACAGTTGATGACTCACTTTTCTTGACACGTTTTGTGTGAGTTTTGTGATAGTCTACTGTCTCTCTGGTGTCTAGTGAAGACAAATCAAGGCATTTGTCTGAGAGGCAAAAGATTCTGAAATAAGTAGTCTGAAAACTAAATGCATTGAGTGTAGAGTTCTTATTTATAAAACTTTTTTGTGCAATACATTTTTGTACAACATTTAAGATGAAGTGACATATTCTATTGTAGCTGGTGTTTGCGCATGATACAGCCAGGGTGATTCAGTGTCTCATGAAGAATGGCAGCCAGGAACAAAGAACTGAATTATTTGAAGAGCTGAAAGGTAAGACCCCATTTCCAGAGATCAGATCGATCTACTTTAGATCAACCTAACTCCCTGGGGGTTCACGCTAAATAGCTGTCAGCCGAGCGGACATGAAAGTTAATTACCCCCTTACAGCTTGTAGTAGGCGGGATGGACATCTAAGCCGGATTATCTGACAGTAATCTAGTGAGACTCCCCGCGGGGATAGTTTGATCTAAAAGCTCTGGGAATACAGCCTAAGTTTTTGAAAAGACTGTTCATCCCACTTGCAGTAAATATCAAGGACTGTTTAGTAGAATGTTTTAGTATCTTGTTCTGCATCTCATGAAGAATGTTTGAATTCCTCATTTAGTCAGTGTTTTATATTTTTTGTGACGCCTACACCTGACTTTTACTTACAGATGATTTAGTGGAACTTTGTAAAACCAAATACTCCAGCTTCTTTGTAAAGAAAGTTTTGAAATATGGGTGAGTGTTTGAGAAATGAAAGATGTTTGATACCTTTAAAAGCATTTGTTAAAAAAAGAGTTGTAGTTAAGTAACAAAGAGTTATAGTAACGTAAAATTATTCCTTGATCAAGCTTTTTAAATGGTAAATGCATTTCTGAAACATATGATACTTTCACATTTATTTTAACATTCAAACTGTTTCGTCTTTGCATGTTATGCTATCATTGACATTTGAAATGAGTTTTTTTTTACTTTAAAGCTTTCAAGGTTGGTGCCATTTGTAGAATTATTTACTTCATTTTTTTTTTTTTTTTGTTACAGAACTAAAGCCCAGAAAAATGCAGTGTTTAAAGCCTTTCACGGAAATGTTAGGAAGATAGTGAGACACACTGTATGTCAAATATTTTAAAACTATTGTCCTTTAGTAATGATACATATTGATAAGTACCGGTTTCTTCAGATAGATATTGTCCTAAAAACCATTAAGACATGACTAAGGAGTGAACAGAAGAAAAAAGTAGGTCCCCTCCCAAATTAGGTTCAGATATATAAGACTTATAAAGACTTGAATGTTGCATATAGTATTTATTAATTTTTATAAGTTTATTAGGCAAGCTGTAATACTAGCACCATTGTTTTATGTTTATAGGTGGCAGCAGCTGTACTGGAATATGGTTATAATGAATATGCTACAGCAGCTCAGAGATCCGCTCTGATGGAAGAGTTTTATGGTCCAAGCTTTGCCTTGTTCAAGGTAAGATGTCTTCATGCATTGCTATGTCCATTTAACTTAAAACATGGTGTTCATATGTATCATAAGATGTATTTTTTCATATTAATCATAAGACTACAAGTTCATCATTCTGAATTCATTTGTGAGGTTAGTTTGAAATGGGTACATAGTTCTGAATTTTAGAAATTAAAGTAGAGCGTAAATAATCAATTTCAATGTAAATAAATTATGTTCAATATAATTTAATGGTGTGGTATCTTTTATATACTGTTTGTTTGTCTCGGTGATGATCCGATGACGAGACTGACTGCCAGTAAGAACAATTGATGACTCACTTTTCTTGACACGTTTTGTGTGAGTTTTGTGATAGTCTGCTGTCTATCTGGTGTCTAGTGATGACAAATCGAGGCATTTGTCTGAGAGACAAACTCTGTTACATTTTTGTTCTCATATATATTCATGAATGGGTAGAAATTCACAGAATTATATTAATTAACAAAAAAAAAAAAGGCTAAAAATTCTTGTTTGTGATTTTAGTCCCCAAATGTCACAACTTTAGAGCAGATTCTCAAGGAACAGCCCACGAGGAGAGACATGATCCTAAGCAACATGAAGGAGGCCATTACACCTCTAGTAGATAAGTAAGTTGACCTTATATTCAATACTGAAAATTAGTATCTGTATGTCATTTGAACTTGACTCGTGCAGTGTTCATTTTGACATTTTAAAGAATGCTATAAACATGTAAAATTTATCCAGAATGAATAATAACTTGGCAGCACAAACTGTTTTGAGAAACATTTTGTTGAAAATATATATTTGATGTTGGTGTTCTGAAGTTTCTTCTCTTATCAATTTTCAGAACTGTGTTGAGCCATACCATTGTCCACAGGGCTTTTTTTGAGTACTTCACATATGCATCAAACAAGGCCAGGATGGTGAGTATGAATATAATTGATATTTAAGTGTTGCCATTTAATTGACTTAAATGAGATTTTGATGGACATTAATAAATTTGAGAATGTCAGAAGAGTAAAATTTTGTGGTCAAAAAGTTATTTGCAGTCAATGTGGTTTATAGGCAAAAATATTTTGATATCTATCAGATAAGGTGTAACAGTAGTAAAGTAAGCTGTAGAAGAAAGACATTCTCAATGGTGTTACAACATATCTATGTATTGCATTGTGTGTGGTGGGCATTTTCAGGACATGATTGAGCTCCTAAGAGAGAACATCGTCCACATGGTGCACACGCGAGATGGGTCCAGGGTGGCTATGTACTGTATTTGGTATGGGACTGCTAAGGTGAATGCTCGGTCCTACCTAGATGCTAGGATATGCTTGATTATCATACAGTGATTTTTGTCTATGTGTGTTACTGTAAATTTGGAGTGTGTTTAAATTGAATTAGCAGTAAATATTTGGAAGATTGTGTCCTCTTAGTTGTAATGCGAATTTTGCCATAGAATGTTACATTGACACCTCCTCAGCACATGGCATAATGCCATTCAAAAAGAAAACATGAAAGCAATGCCATTTACCTGAAAATAGGTTGTTCTTCAAAGCTGTTATATGTCAAGCTTTAAAGTATGTTTACTTTTATTTTTAGGACCGCAAGGTGATAATCAAGTCTTTCAAGGGCCATGTTGTGAAGTTGTGTAAGGAGGAATATGGACACATGGTGATGCTGGCTTTGTTTGATGCTGTAGATGATACCAAGTTGATGGAGAAAGCAGTTTTACAGGTACTGCAGAAATTGGATGGCTTTTTGTGTCTGACAGAATTGTTGGACTTGTGGGGTGAAAATTTAATTAATCAAAAAATTGGATCAAATCAAGGATAAATTTGGCAAGAAGTGGTTGAATTCTTCACATCTTCTTGGGGCAATTTGGATGGTGTTTAGCTTTTGTTTTAAATTTACTCTGATAGAATGAGCCTAGACTTGTAATAAATTACTTTTTGTACAGCACAACGATTTAAAATACAATCTACAATTGTGCCTTAACAATTTTATCCAAACATTCAATAACAAAACAGTGATTTTTGCCAATTTTGCAGTTGGTAAGAATACTCACTGGTTTCTACCAAAATCAGCTATGTATTGATGTTTTGTTGTCTCAGTGATGACCCGATGACGAGACTGACAGCCAGTATGAACAGTTGACGACCCACTTTTCTTGACACGTTTTGTGAAAGGATCATGTGATAGTCTGCTGTCTCTGTGGCATTTTGTGATGACAAATCGAGGCATTTGTCTGAGAGACAATTAAAAATTAGGTATATGTAGCCAAGTTAAAACAGTTGCAAGGAAATGCTCTGGTATAGTTACCCACCTCATCCTTTAAAGAAATATTATTGTGAAAGAATGTTATTGCAACCTATGTCATCTAACAAATATACTGACAGAATTGCTTGAAGTGTTTTCTGTTTCTTATGCTTTTGTTTTTGTATATCTTTTAAATTGTTTTATTCTTCTTATCCAGGAAATGTTTAAATACCTTTATGCATTGTTCCCACAAGAATAAACTGATGGTTTCCTTGCACCTGCCCAGTTACCTGGACTGATCCTATTCTTATATTATAGTATTTTGCTCCATTGATTTTGTTTTTTTTTTATTCTTGCAGGAAATGTTGAAATCTCTGTATGAAGTTTGCTTTGACCAGTATGGACTGAAGGTTTTGCTGTACCTGCTCAGTCCCAGGGATCAAGTGTATTTCCACCCCGATGTGATCAAGGTATTGGAGCTGGGAGATGCCAACCCTAACAGGTAGCAGCGATTGTACTCATTCAGCTTGCCTTACTGTGTTCATGTGTGATTTTTACTTTGCTTTTTGATGTTATAGCTGAATACAAGTCAATAATCATAACTTCACCTTGCACAAAACCAATGTGTTGGTTTTCTTAATAAATTTCGTGTCCATGGTGCTTGAAGTTTTGAATATTTCATAATACTGCTAATAAATATATGCTGACTTATTCACATGATGGTACTTTAGTCTAGTATACTTTACTTTTATGGTTGTAAACAGATGTCCTGCGTTATAGTTATTGCTGGATTAAATTATAAATTGAAATGATGTGTCTGTATTATAACAGTAAAAAAGACGCGGCTGTGAGAAGGAAAGAGTTGTTGAGTGCTGTGTCCAGCCCTCTGCTTCAGTTCATAGTGGATCATACCAAGGAACTGGTGATGAGCAACTCTAGGCTGCTGCTTATATTGGATATCCTGACCCATGCTGAAGGTAGGTGGTTTAAACTTTTCCTTGTTTTTATTAAACTAGAGAGATTTTGATAGCATACAGTGCATGCCAGGCCTCCCACAGCAAATATAAATTTCAAGCAATTTGTTTGTAAGCATTGTCATTACGATTAAATTCACCAGTCTCTGTGCCCATTACTTAGGGTTGTGGCTTAAAATTGGAAACTTAAAATTCAAAACCAGTTAAAAGAACGTGATTTGTTGTTGGTTTTGGATATGGTATACTCTGGTTATTCAGGGAAAAGTTGAAATCTCTTGAAAAATTTAAAGTTTTGCTATTTAAAGGAGTAATGCTCATGTTGTGAATTCAATGAAACATGCAATGAAACTGTCTTACAGCATTTTTTTATTGGCTGCTATTTTTCTTCCTGCCTGAAGAATTATTTAACGCAGTTTGATTATTTTAATAATTATTATTATTTGAAAATGTTAAATTATCAACTGTCTCAGTGATGATCCGATGACGAGACTGACTGCCAGTAAGAACAGTTGATGACTCACTTTTCTTGACACGTTTTGTGTAAGTTTTGTGATAGTCTGCTGTCTCTCTGGTGTCTAGTGATGACAAATCGAGGCATTTGTCTGAGAGACAGTAACTAATTATAGAAAGATAATTAGAAAATTAATAAACTGAAACCTCATGTACTCATTTCAGATAATTTGTTGTATAAAAATGAATGCACAGATTAAAGTGAGAAAATTTATTTTAATTTGCAATGTATTTTTTTTTACCACCAGGTGACCCCACTGCAGCAATGGAGGCCATTTGCAAAATTGCCGCTGAGCCATTTGTGAGTGGAAGTCTTGAGAACTTTCACATTATTGAGCACCCAGCAGGTCACATGACTCTAAAGAAGCTGATCAAAAATGATGCGGAGAGGATGAAACAGAATGAAAAAGGTTATTATTTTATATAGGGTATAGTTAAGAGGATTAAGATTTTAATAGGTATTTGTAAGTTGTTTTACCTTTGAGAAGCCTTAAAAGTAATACAACTGTCACAATTAACTTAAGACAGTCTGACAAATTTTGAATTTTTATATGAACCTGCATTTAAAATAATGTTTTTTTGTTTTCAGTGCTGTTTACAGACATACTTCTGAGAACCGTGTCTGAGAGTTCACTGAAGTCCTGGGCAGCTTGTAACAGGGGATGCTTTATTTTGATAACGTAAGCACATTTTTTTCTAAAGGCATTTTTTAATATGCTGCACCTGACATTTTGCAAACCTGGACCATAAGTTTTAAAAAATATATGCACCTTCAGCTTATTTAATTCTTGTGGAGTGCATCTTGTAAAAAAAAGGCAATTACTGTCAGTAACCTATAATCAGGAAGTACCTGTTTGCAGACTGACTGTTGGTAAAATGTGATTTGATTTTTAATTTCATGCCTGGATTGATATTTGTTTCAATTATTGGGTCATTCTGAAACTTCAGTTAATAATACTACATGTATGTTATTTGTTGATGTACCCATTCTCTATTTTAATGCATTTTTTTGGAACTTCAGCATTTTAGAATTGAACAATGAAAAGATGTCTGCAGAAGTGAAGAAACGGTTAACCTCCGTTAAGAAGTCACTGGGTAAGATGGAGTTCAAGGGGGCACAGATTCTACAGAGCAAACTAAACGAAGCATGAAGAAAATTATATATATATATATATATGCGTATATCACAGTGGAATTTGACCGCCCTGGTTCCATCTGATTATGACCAATGGCAGTTTGGTGCTTAATGTCACAATCTTTGTATTCCAGTAGAAGTTGTACTTTGAAATTTACATACAGTACCATTTTCATTTTAAATACAGGTAAATACAGTTGTTAAGATGATTGTCTTATGATTTATCAAGAACTGAAAGTAGGCTTGTGGGGCAAAAGTTCATGTTGCCTGTCACTTTGAAATGTTAGAGGAAATCTAAACAAATTTGAGGCAAGATCACTTTTCAATTGCGTAATTACAATTTAAGTGAACTGCTTGAAGAGACTGGCTCAAAATTATGCATTAATTTCATTTACATGGACTTGATAATTATATTCATTGTGTAGGTCTTGCGTCGTAAAATAAATTATTACAGTTATAAACTGAAGTTTTGGTGTGTGGTATAACTTTTTCATAATTGTTGCATCACTAAATTTTATTTTTGTTATAAATTGATTTATTACAGTTTTACAGAATCTTGTTACACATAATATATCCGAGATATTTTATGCCTATAACTGACCAGTTTGAACTGAAACATGAGATTTGCTTCGTACATTTTACATTGCCGCAGGGGAAAAAGTTCCACAAGTCATGAATGTGCACTGTTGGTTAAAACGAATCAACAAAAAATATTAATATTATTATCGTTTTTTCCCAGTGCACATAATATGAACAATTTTGATGAGGAGATGGGAAGAATTTTCATTTCAAAAGGTTGTGGGTTTCTGCATTCTTACACCTGCAGCTCTATTATATTTCATCCAATGGTTAAAAGTTCCATACGATACTGAAATCTTTGGTAACTACATGTATGTTCAACTTTTTACAGGGGAAGTTATTAAGAGACATTTGATAATCCTGTATACTGTCTACAACATTTCACTATCTACATAATCAAGAATGAACAATTTCGTTGTTACAGTATTAACAGCATGTAATACCAAGAGGATTAGATGAAGCTGTTTTTAGTAAAAGGTAGGGCCTCAAGTCTCACAATTACTTCATTTTAAACCTCTATGAAAAGTAAGTACATCACAGATCACGCACAGTGCTTGCTTTTAAAATAAAAGATAATGCTTCTCAACAGTGTCACTGAATATGTATAATCCAGCCCTGAATATGTATAATCCAGCCAGTAAATGGTTCACTTATAGACGCCCATCGTTTGGAAAATTCATATTACAGTGTCGCTTTCATTGTATTTGTATTATCATAATTTGAATTTTATATATATATACATTCACTACATTTAAAAAGAACATGCCATGGGATGACAAAACTAGCACTGACTGGTGCACTGCAGCACTGTTTAAATATCTTCAAACTGAAAATAAAAATACACTGACATTTCTCCCCAAATGATTTGGTGAATAACATGTCTAACATGCACCATATTTCTTTTATCACAAATTGCACAAATTTCAAACACTTCATTGTTTTCATGCCTGCCTGGCTAGACAAAAACTTGAGATCTTAAAAGATCACTTGAAACTATAACTTGAACTATATTTAACTACATGCAGTGATGGATTCTTCAATTTGCATTAATCTACGTCAGGTATTTTTTATTACCTTTATGCCATGTTTTTATGTGCATCTTGCACAGCCCAATTTCTACCATCTTTTCTGCATCTGTGTAGAAATTGCAACCATTATGACCTTGTTGCACAGACGGAAATGATAAAAATTCAAATAATTTCATTTGCTGTACTGCTGATGAGTACTACATACTGCTCACCTTATAAGCTGATAACTTCTAAGTACTAGAATTATCATTTCCTGCAACGCACCTTATTTTGCAACTGAAATATATTTAAAGGTCAACTGTCCTCTGCAGAAACGGGAAAAGTAATATGGTGAAAAATTGTACCCAGTGCTGCTGTTCTGCTGACCACAGGCTCATTTAAAAACAAAGCCTTTTTTCTGACAGTTTCCTTCAAAACTGTATAGACAGCAGTGAAAATGACAGCAATGGTACGTTTCGTTTTCTCCAAAAAGAAAAAAAACTTTTCTGACAAACTTTCCAATGTGAAAGAAAAAAATGAAGATTTACAGAAATACAAAATCTTCTGATTCCTTTGAAGGTGAACGTGGCTTCCCATCATCGTTTAAATGTCTCACTCTTAAAAACTTATCATTCTTTGGATGGTATGACTCACAATTCACTTCGTTGCTGCGCCCTTCAGAAAATATGAACATTGGGTATTGTCCTTTCTGCTTTGGTGGTGACAGGAACTTAAAAAAATGAAAAAAAAAAAAAAAAAATTATTTTCCATAACAATACCAGTTATCAAATTAAAATGTGTAACAGCAATTTTCTACCATTCTTACATCTGCCTTAAGATTACATCNTGAAGTGTTACCCATACCTCGCCCAAGGAAATGCATAATTAAAGCTTGAGCCAACATCATCTGTCCACTGCGTAACATACAGCCCCAGCCACAGTCTGTTGTGAACTGGGAGCCTGAAATTGTGGGGAAACCTCTTCTATATGTGAACCATATCCTACTGATGAAGTCCTGTTTAAAAAGCTCTATGTCAGGGGGATGCTGTTTATCAGTCTCCGTTTCAAATCCAACTAGTAAAAGAATATATAAATTGTTTTATATATTTTAACAGGAAAGTACACAGCAGACATGCTGAAAACTTTTCAGAATGGCCCGACATTTGGACCGACAGTAATGAAAAATTTGCTGGACCGAATGGATTTTTGTCAGATCGTAAATCGCCCTTTTCGTTTGAGACGGATAATATCGGTACGATTAGAGTAGCTTACTTTGTTTGTGAATGTGACAGATTTGAAATGGAAGGGAAAAATGCTTTGGGTTTTATATAATTTTGTTAGTGAAGTATGTCAAATGATGACTGTAAATTCAAAATTGCTGCTCTTAAAACTCTTGTTGGTCCTTTGGACTGACCAAGTCCAATATTTTACCGGTCCAGACAAATTTTCCCGGTCATGACCGATCAGACTGACAGTTTCAGCATGTCTGCACAATGATGTGTTATATGAGAAATATTGAATTTTTAAATAGGCTGCTGAAAGATGAAACAGTAAAGATAGAAAATGATGCCCTGCATTTTCATATAATGTGCATGTAACCACACATTAAAAAAACTACTAGTACTGTGTTTTATTGAAGGAATGATATGAATATTATTGACCCAGTAAAATTCATGGGCTACTTTCTGATAAATGTTTTTGTTTCTATGATAGTGAAATGGAAACAGATCAATCCAAACATTATGTAATTACAGATTGCATATATACATGTACCTTCATTCTTGGCATGGTAACATTTCCCAAGCAGAAAAAGAGGGTGTTGATGGTTGAAGTGAGTCTTGGTTTTCACTGTCCAACCTGAAGATTTAAGCAATAATAAATAAGTATAAGAAAACTTGTCAATTGAGGACAAAATTTAGTTCCAAAACAGAAAAAATTAAATTTAAATTTATATCCATCAATATTCTGTAACTACATGTAATATCAATTAAAACTACACCATTTAAACATGACTATCTTCTCATGTAAAATAATTTGTTACACTTACCATATCTCACATTATTCCATGCTGACATAATTTTTGTTTTCACTTTATCCATTTGATCTTCATTAGGCACATACTCTACAGGAGGGCCAGCATCTATAGTGCTTATAGTTCTCACAGGAGTTTGGTAATTTTTATGCCTATGATGGCTAAAATAATGATGTCTATGATGCTTCTTATCAGAATGTTTTTTTTGGTTTGTGTCTGTATCCGTGTGCTCGGGTAAATACGAATTCGCCACATCAACAAAGCTACTACTACTAGTCGTTGGACTAGGTTCTGTGTATTCATTCAAATGTACCCTGTGCATTCCGGCGAGTATATCCTCTGGTTCATGGTCAGTTTCTATGTGCTTTTTCTTCTTTCTGAATTTTAACAGATCCATAGCAGCAGCTAATGTACCCTTGTCCGAAGATAAAGATCGAGTGCCAGTAGTACTCGTAGTACTAGTAGCCGCTGTGGGATGTTCATTGCCATTGGCATTGCTTATGGCACTTGAAGAGGCACCGTCATTGTTGAGGCTAAGAACACTATCATTCCACGAAGAAACCGAAATAACATCTGCGTTTTGACTTCTCCTTTGCATTGGGATTCTGAGTACCAAAGAATCGCCAGCAAATGCCATAAACCGATAAAAATTGCACTGATTCTGTTTTCATCTGTAATTATTCCGGGTTTCCGATGTGCACTACGTCATCGATTTATGTGTTTATCCACGTCATCAAGTCGTGTACATTTAAAGATGGCGCTTCCGTTTGAAAGGTGTGCGAAATGTTATTTCAATGTCGCGTCCGCTAATAAGCAACTGATGGTGCAACAAAAAGTGATTTAATATAGTGCCGTCATTATTTTAGCAAATAATGGTAAGTTACCCGCTTTTAAACATGTAGGAATAACAATGAAGATTTCCCAAACCGTCACTTTCTAGTGTGTGATTGCCTTGTGAGGTTGTTCAAATACGAAATAGAACACTACTAATATTTAATGTGATGTGATAGGGACACATCTTGTGTCACAGTTGAATGTGGTATCTTGTCAACTATCAAACGGATATAGTATGTCCCTTAGAAAATAAGAAAACCACCTGCAATCTGGGAGATGGGGGTGGGGGGAGTACAGAAGAATAAAAGTGCCACAAGATGTATTCGTGTTTTATTATTTTTCCCCCCAATGACTTCATGCTTGGTTTCATTTTTATTTTAGAAGAAAGAAGATGTAGATTGTTTGTGGAGTGATGAAGAAGATGACATTTTTTTCAGTCCAACTAAACCGGTTGTAAAAAACAATGTCAATAAACAAAGGAAGTTGGATACTTTTACAAGTCAAATACCTGCACAAATTTCAACTGTAAAGGTAAGTATGAAAGGGTTTTTCAGTTATGCATTGTATATCTCATAATATGAATACATGTTATCACAGTATCCGATTGCTTATCTGATTAGTTGTGCAATTTGCTTTTTTCTTTTCCTTTACTCCATTTATATGTAATGTTGCTTCCTTAATAAACAAAACATTAAATAATGAATAATTTAAAGAAACAAATGATCCATTATTTAAGTTAACCTTTCAGAGCAATGCCTCCTGGGTAGCCTCAGCCTTTGATGGTTTTGATGACTTTGAGGCCCCAGTTGTGAAATCATGCACTGCTGGAAAACAGACACTGCTGTCCCAGAGCAGTGATTCTTTCCAAAGAAAGAGACCTAGAGAGACAAGTACCAAAACAAGGGGGCATAGTTTCATGAGCCAAAGAAGTGCCATAACTAGAAGGAAAAATGTATCGGATAATGATCTCTGGGCTGATAAGCATGCACCACTCTCAAAAGTAAGGTTATGGTTGAAATGCGTGCAAGTTCTTTTTTTCAATAATGTAAATGCTAATAGGCTGGGAAAGTAACAATTTATTTCTCAAAGTATTGACAAAAGAACTTCTACAGTTCTAGTGAAATTACTGATGAAACTTTTCAACAGTGGGTTTAAATTTTTTGAGGATGGTAAGGTTTTTAGGGGCTGATATCTCTACTTCATAGATGTGTACCTTGAATTTACCTGTATCTTCACATTCTGACTATATTTGATAGTGTCATGCAATCAGAAAATATTTTTTACTTTTTACTTGATAAAATTGGGCCGAGTGATTAGAAAGTTTTTAAAATGCAATTTTGGTGTGGAAATATTAGTATTATTTCATGTAATTAGTGTTTGCTTGCAAATAAGCTCTCCTTGCTGAACAGTTTAGACTGAGCAAAATATTTATCAGCCTGGTATAGATATAGTCCAAAAATTATAATTTTTTACACAAGCAAAATACTAAAGTGTAGACTTGGTTGTTTAAATGCATACCCCTTTCCATTTTAGAATGACCTTGCCGTCCACAAAAAGAAGATAGAAGAGGTAGAGAATTGGTTGTTGAATAATTTGAAGAGGAAACCACACCAGGTAAACAGACACCTCTCATTTATATGGAGTAAATACAATTTTGATTTTAAACCAATTGAACTTTTTTATACATTACATCAAGTTATAGGTTTGAACAGGTTTAATCATTAGAAATTTAACATGTTATGAGCAAATGCCATTCATAACTGCTCGTGTATGTGTGGTTACAGGTGCACCAGCCCGTAAGATACATACTTTAGACTCTGGATATGATTTGAAAAAAAAAAAGAATTTGTCCTCCATTTAGATATTGTAAGGACTTTGTGTATGTTTGCATATTCCTTTATTGGCCAATCTACACCAGACCAAAAATATAACATTCAAATCTTTTTTTTTTTTTCAGGGAGCCCCTGTGTTGCTCCTGACAGGTCCAGCAGGAGCAGGAAAAACAGCAACCATGAATGTTTTATCACAGGAGCACAATATAGAAATACAGGAATGGGTAAACCCCCTTGTTACCCAGTTTGAGGAAATTGCTTTCAACAGAGAAGGTTAGTTTAGAAATACATTTGCAATGAGTAGGAGTCCCTATATTCTTAAGGTTTCATCATATTTGCTTAGTTACACTTAAAAATCCTTTATGTTTCACCTAGATGATTGCAAATAATTAGATGTTCAGTAATTTTTTTTTACTTTTTATCGCTACTTTTATTTGCTATTTATACTCTTGAGATACACACAATTGGCCTGCATTTCTATGTTCATTGAAAGATTTTTTTTTAGATAACACATTTTTATGTACAGACACAGNGAAGTTTTACATTTTCAAAGTGTGAACTTGAACTCCCATGGGCCTGAAGCCTTATGCTTGTTTCACATTTTACTTACATTGGTATTACCTGTTGAGCATAATTAAGATTTGATGTTGAATTTGCAGTTTAACATAATGTACTTTTACATCAGAATTGACAGTAGCCTATTTTGTTATTTCCTGCTTTTTGTCTGTACATTTGACAGCTTTGCTGCCTTGTTTAAAATGATCTTTATGTCAGTCAATGCTGATGTGTTTTTTCCTTCACACAGTTGTCCTGAAATTACGTTCATTGATTTCTTTTAACATGATACATTTTATAAAATATTTTAGGTTATTTAATGCTGATTTGTTTTTTTCCTTCAGATTATGTGCCTGTGGAAGGACCCACACATAATTCTCAGGTGACAGTATTTAGGGATTTCCTTCTCAGAGCCAATAAATATCAAACTCTTCAGATATTTGGAGGTGACCGCTGTCACAGCAGAAAGATTGTCCTAGTCGAGGTTGGTATTTTCAGCAAGGTATAAGTAATTAAGATGTGCTTGAGGGAGTGTTTTCTCTTTTGATTATCTATTGAATCAGATTTGATCTGATGTTGTTATTTTTTCGCTGAACACGATGTTTTTAAGGATTATGGAGCTATGTCAGTAATAGATTCTGGGTTGTATTTGAAGTATGAAGCCTGAAATACAGTAAATGCCACTATTATGTGTTATTTTTGATGAATGTCGAATTTTTTTTCCATTTTCAGGATTTTCCCAACTTCTTTTATAGACAGTCAAAAGACTTCCATGAAATATTGAGGTATACAAATGATGATGTTTTCCAAAATTAAAATTATTTTTAAAGGAAAAAAATTCTGTGCAAACTTTGATTTCAAAACTTAACAAACTATGTATAGCACCTAATTTTCAGCAAGGTTGAAGCGCATATGTTTTAGTAAATGAGTAGTACAATTTTATGGTTATTTCCAGAAAATATGTCTCTACGGGTCACTGTCCTCTGGTATTTATAATAAGTGATAGTGCAGGTGGTGAGTCCAATGAGAGGCATCTCTTCCCAAAAGATCTACAAAGTCAGCTTAATATATACAACATTAGGTGAGTTGGTATTAATAACTAAAGTCAACTTGATAAATATCGTTTTAGGAAGCGATTTAATAATGGTATGATGAGTTTTATGGTTAACTTAATAAGGAGCAATTAAAACATGATATTGATGGTGAGCAACCTAATATTATGTTTTGATATCTTGTACTAATTTATTTTCAGTTTTAATCCAGTAGCGCCAACAAGTATGGTCAAAGTATTACAAAGGATAGCTACAACTGAATCTACTAAGGTACAATGTCTATGACAGGAAGTTTGCCATCTCTGTTATATGCCCTTTTTTGTTTTAATGCTTTCTGTAGTGTTTTCTGAGAAATAAAAAAAAGAAGAAAATCAAAACCTACAGTGTCATCCAACAACTTATAATTTTTACACTAAAAATTCACCGATGGAAATTTTCAGCCAGTAGTTGACTTTTGAACTCTGATAAAAATCTTACTACATTAAATTTAAATTTTGATATCATATTTATTTTATACACAATATATATGACAGCATTGATTCTTCATATTGCCTTTGTCAGGGTGCCCATAAGTTTAGTGTTCCAAGTAAGTCGACTCTGGAAGCTATTGCCAATGCAAGCTCTGGAGATATCCGTGGTGCTGTTAATGCTTTACAGTTTGCCTGTCTAAGAGGTTAGTGAAGATGAACTTTCAAAGTATTGATTTAATTAACACAAGATGTACTGTTCACAAGAAGTATTATTTATTGTTGAATGTCTGTTTGATAGGGTAGGAAAATGAAATTAGAGAAACTAAATTTTATTATTAAAATTTCTTTGATTCACTAGGACAAATATTTAAAAAAGTATTAATGTTATGAGTATTATTATGATTAAAGATCAGTTCCACAAGAAGAAAACTGTTTATTTTCATTCATGAAAATGATATTCTGTTACCATCTTAGACACAGCAGATTTGGCCAATATAATGAGATCATCCTGTAAGGACAAGAAGAAAAGTGGGCAGGGCTCAAAATCAAAATCAAAATCTGCAAAGTCCAAGCAGACAAAAGGCACATCGAATGCAGGAGATGAGGAAGAGACAGATCTTGCGGCCATTGGAGGGAAAGACACTTCATTATTCTTATTCAGGGCTCTGGGAAAGATCTTACATTGTAAAAGTGAGTAATTGCCATTCCAGGTATGCTGAATTATGAAAAAAAATTGATACAATAAACTAGGCTGTGCAAATTTAAATGATTTATTTTACTTACCAAATTCTGTCCAACGAATGATCATTATGATTAACAGTGTTTGAAGGTGTTATTTCTATAAACACAAACTTAAATATTATTACCATTCATATTTTTCTTAGTAATTTAGTGGAAATTGGTTGATTAATATTATATATTTTTTTACATTGTAGGAGACCCAGACAGTTCTGATGCTCTCCTGCTCCCACCACATTTAGCACAGTATTCACGGCATGATTTGCTTTTGAATCCAGAGGTAAAGATTTTGCTGAAGTAAAAATGACCTGAAAGCACTGACAGTAATTAAAAAATCCTTTCAAAACTTCCCATTCTGAAATACATAAAATTTATGTACTATACTATACAAGATTATGCAAAAATGTGGTTATATATGCTGGGGTAAGGTTAGGTTTAATATTAAACATTTGTCAAATGTTTGATTGAGGATTTTAACAAGAAATTGTTTTCAGCATCATTCTTCTTAATTTCGTCATATCGTTTTGAAATGGTTTGTATATTTTACCCTTTACAGAAGCATCCATATCAAATACATATCATGTTTATTTAAAAACTAGGTTGTAATTGAAAGGTCCAACTTATCTGGAGACTTCTTCACAGCATATCTGCAGCAGAATTATGTGGATTTTTATACAGATATAGATGATGTTGTGAGGGCAAGTGAATATATTAGTGACTGTGATTTCCTTACTTCAGACTGGGTGGTAAGTGTCGTCAGTAGACTCTTTAATTCAGAATTCAAACTTGAAATAAAAGTTAAGGATAAATTTAACAAAATGACATATTATGCTGATGTAGAGGTATGTTTTACCATTAAGTTTTTATGGAAAAATCTGTATTGATAATTTTGCATTTATCTGTCTTATCATAATTAATGGTGATGAATTTTCACACTACCAGTTTTTTTTATGCTAAGTTATTTTGTATAGATGTAAATTTAAGTATGAATAAAGTTATTGATGGTCTCTAGTTAAGATGGTAAAACAAAAGTAGAGTTAGAGGCTAAATAACCAGGGCCCGGTTGCACCAACCGGTCGTAAATTTGTTTCGCTACGACGGTCGTAAACCGCAACGCCTGGCGTCCATGCGCCAGGTTTACTCTCCCTCTTTACGCCCGTTGCACCAAGACAAAACATGACAGTCTTAGCTACGCCGGAGCAACGCCTCGTTGAATGAGTGTTCAGCAAGTCGAGGTTGGTTTTAATAAGCAAATACGGACTTCGTAGCTTCAGTCATAGCCTCGACTGTAGAATGGAGACCAAGCTGTCCAAGAAAGCTAGGAAGAGAAATTTCAGTGACGGAGAAATAAGGAAACTCCTAGAAATGTATGCTGAAAATTCCATCATTTTAAACAGCAAACTGAGCAACTCAACCACTGCCGAACAGAAAAAGAAACTTTGGCAGAACATTACGGCCGAAGTCAATGCCGTAGGTGCAGCTAATAGAAGTGTGGAGGAGTTAAAACACAAATGGAAAGATTTGTACTCAAAGGCAAAAAAGGATCTTTCAAACAGAAAGCGGCCGAAGACAGGAGGAGGTATACAGCCAGTGGAAGGCCCCTACACCAACATAATCCTGGACATAGTGGGTGAAAATTCTCCTTCTATGACAGGAATTATTGTAGGAGGAGAAAGTGGTGTTATTATGTCTGAGACACCTCAAGCACCTGATACAGGTAGCAACGCTTGTTTTATCATTGAACAGTCAAATGATAGTAGTAATTTATCTTATCTTTTATTAATAAATTAGATATCTTATGTGTTTCTACACTGTGAAAAGTTACATTATTAGTTTAAAAACTTAATAAATGGTTCTTGATTTGATGCTTCATGAAGTCTAAGAAGTAATTTTTAATATAAAATGTTTCTTTTCATATATAAAATCGCCATCAGAGAGTAGTGTACCGGCAGTTGAGTCAGTAGAGTCGGACACGGAGACTGCAGCAACAACAGTGCAGCCCACGGCAGCGTCCAGTGTAGAGCCCGCGGTAGCGTCTACGTCGACAACACCAATGGAATCAATATCAGAGTTACATGAATCAGAAGCCACATTTAGCACATCGAAACGAAAAAGATCTTATTCAGCCGCTTCATCAACCAAGAGGAGACGCTATGCTACTTCCTGCTCAGAAAGAGAAGAACTGCACAAAATATTGCTTAAGGAAGAAATTGAGAAAGTTAAATTGGAAAAACGCAAGTTGAGTAGAGAAATCGTGAAATTGAACTTGGAAATCAAACTACTTAGGGCCAAGAATTTATGAAATGTTGTACTGGTATAATTGCACACTGGTCGTGTGCCTCCTGTCTAAAATATTGCTTTCAGTTAGAGATTCGCTTCTTTTCATCTTGGCGTAAAAATATTTTCATTTGTTTTTTTTTTAACACTTCCAAGGTTCGATTAGCTGTAGCCATAGCATTGACATCGGCTGTGATATTCTGTCAAAGTTTCTTTTCATGTTTGCCGGTGATGGATTACCTCTATGTACTGTTTAAAATGATGGAATTTTCAATATACATTTCTAGGAGTTTACTTTAATAAAATGTGTCACCATAGATTTATTGCGTTTATTATTTAGTTATTTTTAATACAATATATAGATAATACGATATATAATTGCATTAAATATCCTCTTATATTTATGGACAGAAACTTTGTGATTGAAACAAAAAATTGTAACAATTACCATGTTATATAAATTCACTATTAATTCACGTAAAGAAATTGTCAACAAATTGCTGCCTGGCAACACGCCCGTTTATGTCGTTCAAACCATCAATGTATAAGTTTCCCCTATCTTCTGGCTCATGAGGCAGCAATTCTAGTTCATTTCCAATATCCCTGTACCTCAGGCATAGGTTGTGTAAAGCTACTGTGGACATTATGACATTGCAAGCTCTGGGGGGTGATAAGCGAATCATGTTTAAACAGGAGAAACGCCTCTTGAGAATGCCATTACAATGTTCTATTGTGCTTCGTGTGGACATGTGGACTCTGTTATATTCTCGCTGTCCCTCTGTAACAGGATTTAAAAATGGTACCATAAGCCACTGTAATTGTGGATAACCACTATCGCCGAGAATAACACCCCTCTTAGGATTCTGTTCCATCACCTCATAAACATTGCTCTCCCTGAGAATACGTGAATCATGTGTTGATCCTGGCCATCGCACAACTGCATTAATGATACGCAAGTCAGCATCACATATCAACTGCACGTTGATGGAATGTCGTCCCTTTCTGTTGACATATTCCCACTCCCTTTCATTCGGAGCGATGATAGGTATTTGAGTTCCATCCACACACCCAATGACATGTGGAAAGCCTGCTAGGGTGTAAAACTTTCTTTTGCCTTCTGCGACATTTGCATCCTCCAGGGACATGGCTACAAATTCATCAAACCTGCGCACAATAGATGATGCTACATGGCTTATGACTCGACTTGCTGTACTTCGATGCACGTTTATCATGTCTCCAGCTAAAGACTGGAAACATCCTGATGCAAAGTAACGTAATGCAATAAGGACTTGTATTACAGGCGATAGTGTTTTGTTTCGACGACTTTGAAAGTCCAAGTCACCTCCGATTATGGCCGTCAGATCCAGAATGGCCCTCCGATCCATTCTGAATCGTTCATACAGTTCTAGATCATCATATACTTCCAAAGGGTTAACTCTGTCCCTGATTACCCTCTCCCTCCTTAGAGCTCGTTGAAAATGTTCATCAAATTCTCTGTGAACAAGCCTCGCCATTTCGCTACGACCGACTTACTCCTCCTACCTGGCAGGCGTAAATTTATGACTTAGTTAAGACCGACATAAACACTATTCCAGTTTGGTGCAACTGGCGTTACTCGGGCGTAGCGATTTGCGCCCGGTTTACGCCGGCGCAACTGCTACGCCTCACTTACGACCGGTTGGTGCAACCGGGCCCAGAGTTGTACACAATGCTACGAATTCAGATGTGAAATCGCCATTCATGTCAACAATGTCTATAGATGGTGGATCAAAATATAGAGTACAATTCTTAGTCAAGAACACTACTGTTTTATTGCATTAAAGGTGTTTGCATTTCAAGACGGCTATAGGATTTATTGTTTCAATATGTGTGATGAAATTATGATTTATAAACTAGAATTATTTGCCTTATCCATCTGGTTTCTAATTCTTTTACAGTCTCAGACATCATAAGGAATCTATGCATCATCAGTGGCTTACATATTATAACAATATATTCAGTGGAATGAAAAAAATATGTATAATCAATATGTTGAAATATTATAACAATATGAGCAATGAAAAAAAATTCGTATTGATTAAAGTGGGACCTAATTTATTCTAGTCTCGGACATCTCAAGGATTGTATGCAGCATCAGTGGCAGCCAGGGGTATCATGTTCAGTAACTCAGCTAGAGCTGGCAGTACTAGCACTGGAGGTTCTGGACTGGGCTGGAAGCCACTGCATAAGCCACAGTGGTTTGCTAGTGCCAAAAAGGTAGAAAATAATGACTCTGAGTTTGTATTATATTTTTTGTTTAACAATTGATTTACATAATGAATAACAGTTGCATTGCGTAATTAACTTTGTGTATATTTGAAACAAAATGAATGATAAAAAGACGTTCATGTTTCAGATGAAGTAAAGAACTTCAGACGAACATATTTTAGGAGGTATATTGTCATAAATTTCTTTTTTTTTTTTTTTCAGGCTAGAGAAAATTCTTTAGCAGCAAGAACACTTTTTAAAGGTACGTTCGAGAATGGAAAACTAAAACTTAAAATGTAAAATGGGAACTAGATTATACTTTTAAAGGAAAAGATGCTTGGTGCAAGTTAAGTTTACGTAATAGGAATCTTCCGAAAGACGTAATTTTATAATTTAATGAGGTATACAAGGTTCATAGCAACAAAGTGATTTGTATTTGATTTTGTACTTTTCAGGTCACAGCTGGACTCCTGAAGACCTTCAGACCCAGTATCTCCCTTATTTGTCCTTGACCAGTGTTCCTCTGCATGATCCAGGTATATTATCAGCAGAGTCATGTTAAACAGCATTACGTATATTACTTTTTATGTCAGCCTGGGGTAGCGCTAGCAACTTTTTTTCGCTTAGCCAAATCACCACTTTTTTTGTCAATTTGTTATCCAAATGGTTATAATTTGACTAAAACAAGTCAAATCAAGCCCTTTTTGTTTAGCCAATTTATGTCAGTTTTAGTATTTGGCTAAATTGGTGAGTGTTAGCGCTACCCCAGTCAGCATTATTTGAGTTTGTTGTATGTGTTTATTCATAGTTATTCTCTGCCTCTGTGTAAAATGCAAGCATTATTAGTGGATCTTGTACAAGTACACATCACCAATTGAGGACATTGTCTCTGAGTACGGTTTTAACCTTATGCTCTATGCAGACGACTCACAAATTTATATTGTTTGCGACAGGCCATCAGATGTAATACCATCTATCCAGAAATGTATTATTCAGTTGAGCCAATGGCTTAATGCCAGTTCACTTGTTTTCAATGATGGCAAAACAGAAGTAGTTCACTTTACTTCTCGTTTTTCTAAGGATGCGGAAAAACTAGAACTATTAGAAATTGGAAACAGTACAGTCACGGTAAAAGATGAGGTTAAAAAACTTGGAGTAATTTTTGATAATAGGTGCGATATGGCTACCGACATCAGTAAAAAATGCAAAGCCGCTTTCTATGGTCTTAAAAAAAATTCCAAACTATCCCACATCCTTGATAAAAGTCAAATGGAGAGGCTTGTTCATGCCTTTATAACTTCACATCTTGACTACGGAAACAGTCTACTGTATGGTCTTCCTACCTATCAAATTGAAAAATTGCAATCTGTCCAAAATGCTGCAGCACGACTACTGACCAAAATCCCTCTCAGATCAAACATTTCACCCATTTTATTCGAACTACATTGGCTTCCTGTACGACAGAGAATTGTTTTTAAATTACTGTTGTTTGTTTTTAAATTCACTAGAGGTGAATGCCCCTCATATTTTAACTCGATGCTACATCCAAGTACACCCAGTCTCACCAGGTCTACCAGATCCACCTCCACTCCTTGTTTTATCAGAAATGATAATAAAAAAACAACCAAAACCTACGGCCACAGGGCATATTCAATTTCAGCACCAATTTTATGGAATCAATTACCCTCACACATTCGGACTATTGAAAGTGTTGAGGTTTTTAAAAAAGATTTAAAAACATTCTTATTTGCACAGTATTTTAATTAATATCTTCTCATTTTATCAGAAAAAAAAGTTTTACTGTTCAGACCATTACTATTTTAACCAGTTTTAATTATTTTAATTGTTTTTTTTTTAACCTTAGCTTTTATTATATATATAATAAGTTGTAATCCTAATAATTTTACCTGTAAACAGCACTGAGACGCTAGTGTAGTGCGGTTTTAAGAAATAAATATTATTATTATTATTATTAAGTAATAAATGGTCAGTATATTGTATAGCATCATGTCTCTACTACACTAAGAAGCTCTCTAGAAGTATTTATATCCCATTATCATTATTTTCTCTGGATATTTTAAATAAATTTTGTATTATATATATAATTATGATTTATTAAGTATGTAATGAATAAATAATATACAAAGGAACTATAGATGTATTATTTGGATTCAGGTCAGTTCACCTTCCTCCAAGATCTTTGCAAGTATTCATCATTGAAGTTCTCTTCAAGGTCAGTTAAATATACATTTTTCTTTTCCTATGTAGTAAAATATAATGAACATATCAAGACTTGATGTATAGAAAAGTATTTTCTTTTGTCAGTTGTATTTAAACTGGCAGTTTTAAGCAGAAAGGAAGTACATTCCAATAAATTTCAGATGAAATCCAAAACGCTTGTCAATGAGAAGAAGTTGACCACATTTTTGCTTTTGATGTTATTTATAATAAAATTCCTTTCTGCTCGTACATTTTTCAGGTCATATCCAGAACGTCTAGATGAAAAGGATGTTGAGATGGATGTGGATAATGAAGAACCTTCACTGGCAGTGCAGGATGTCCCCCACCTAAATAAAAGAGTCCTTGGTGAAGAAGAAGAAGATGAAAATGACATTCCCAGTAGTCAATCAAATCTCCAAGTTGGAGGAGCTGCTGAAGAGCAGGAGGAAGAAGAAGTTGTGATTGAGGATTTTGATGATTGAAGCGCTTTGCCAGTCGAGCTTCGGATTTTGTTTCCTGTAAATATTACAGGTGTGACATACAAGACCTGAAAGGGCTGGAATAATTCTCAATGCCTGTTTGTCAAGTATAATGTTTTTTTTCTAAACCAGAAGAATCTCGAAGAATAATGCAGAGCAACTCAACACTGGTCTTCCAATTATCAAACATTTTTATGGAGGAATTATAGTTGCGTGAACACCTGAAAAATGAATAAAGTACATAAAGTGCATTTAAATAGGAAATGATTTAAGTTCAATTGTATTCAAGTAGAGGCAATTTCAACTTATATAAATCGTCACAATACTTTAGACGGTGTGTGCTGATGGGAAGTTGGACAGCCGCATTTTGTTTTTTGTTGTTCAGCTAACTTTTCAGCGATAAAGCTAGCAAAGAAACATTAGGTTTTTGTTAGTAACTGTACATCAATCATGAAAATTATAACAAGTATCAAAATAAACGCTAAAACTATTTTCTTTATGCGTCTTTTACTATGTGTTATAGTTATCAGTTCTGCAAAGAGATTCATAAATATTAAAAGCAACAGTCTTTCCAAAAACCATTCACCATGTTTTCATTTTTTATTGGCAGACACCTTATGTCAGAACGAAAAGCCAACAACTGCGCCCGTTGTCGTGTACTTGCATGGATTATTTATTTATTTATTTATTTATTTATTGCATAAGTATAAGAATAGCGTGTTAATTGTTGTTTTCAAACTAACAGAGATTATAGGACTTAATACATCTAAAGTTCGACAACTGATTGGATTGTTTTTCTGAAGTTATGCAGTTTTATGAATGTTTCACAAATTGGCGTTTTTCACGTTCAGAATAATACTTGAGACAAAAGATGTGGATATATTGCAATTACATAAATCATATTAACTAAAATTGCCGATGTTTTGTCTTTTCAAGCACAATTTCTACTAGTTCTCTGCCATGTATAAAGACTCCTACAATAGGAGTTCTATGTTTGTCCAAAAAATCTACAAGCAAGATAGTAGTGACAGCTATAGTAAATCCCCTTAGTCATACTGAACCATACAATTACCTTAACATGACAATACACGGGTGAGCGAATTTTACCTGTCTCCACCAATTATCTTTATTCGTACTAGGTCTTGGTGCATTCTGCAATGAGTTCATTTTAAGACACTTATGAACGTTTTGTTGAATAATCTATAGCACTCAAGATCACATAAAATCTTGATTTTACCAATTAATCTGTAAGATCGTACAATATATTCAATTTTTTGTGAGAATGATTTCCACAGCAACTTTTCAATGAAAATTTGCCATACCTGTTGTAATTTACATAACAATTACCCGCTCAGTTCAGTGCGAGCTGTCATCTCGACTGCGCGGTCACTTGACAGTTGGACCCTGGAAGAAGCGGGCGCAGGATAGGCGTGGTGAAGTCACAGAGCCTAATATTCATTCAGCGTTGAAGCAAATGGATCTCGGTCTCGTGAGTAACATTAAATGTACAAGGCACTATCTTATAAGAATGAAAAGTTATGTCTTATGTCCATAATTTGATAATGTGGAATGCACGGTTATTGTCAGAGTAAAGCTAATATTTTCCAACGCTGTCGTTTGAGGTTGTTAGAGCTTGCAAATTGTGCTTGCAAATTTTTGTCAAAAGCTTGTTTAATTCGAAATTTATCAAACAGTTTGAGTGTGTTCTCTGTCGTGTATGATTAAGAAGCTTCTTACACCAAGGTTTTATTTTATTTTTCAACAAGTTTAAAGTACAAGTTTACTCATTTTTGGACTTGACGTAAGAGTACGTATAAGTATATTACATACGGTTCGGTATTACATTATGCTTTGTTTGGGATATGTTAATTATGTTTGCAATGGAATAAGACAAAGGGGACCCTTTTTTTGTTTTTTGCTTGTGACAAAAGAATCATCATATCTGTAGGATATTTTCCCGATTTTTATTGTAACTTAGACACATTTTTTACATAAAATAGAAGCACTTTGTTGTACCATTCATCAAATAAGATTTATCGTGTATGAAATTATTATAAATATTCGATGATTATTTGAATCGGTAATCGGTAGTATAATAATCTGACTCTTGGTGGAACTGCTCCATTCGTTCGAGCAGTTACTTTGAGAATGGTTACCAATAGTACTGTATTGGTTGTAACGGTTTTATTGAATTTTCACCAGAAATCGGTTTACAACATTCAGTAAGATTTGTGAAATATCGAAGAATTTTGAATCTTGAACTATATGACCCTTTTCATTCGTTTTTCTCGTGTTTAGGCAGCCCTTTTCAGTTTATGTACTCTTAATTAAAATGTTATTACTTTGGAATATTGAATTTTGCCATTAACGTTACTTTCGTATTTCAGAACTGCTAACACCGTTGCCGAGGTACTACAAAGCGCTCCTACGACAGATATAGGCTGCAATAGTCTTCTAATTTGTACTGCTATGGTAAGAGTAATTCACACACTTTTCAAATGTTGTGGTTTGAGTTTGGTATAGCTTTATTTAAATGTTTGTCAAAAGCTTGTTTTAATTCAAAATTTGTCGAACAGTGAGTAGATTCTGTATCATGAAAGCCTAAGAGTTTCCTTGCACCAAGGTTTTTTCATTTTTCTGTAAGCTTAAATTACTGCTTTTCTTGTGTGGTCCATTGTCTTTTAGAGTAACTGTTCGTTGCTTATCTTTAAAAAGATCGCATGAATAATATGAAGAAAGAGAAAATATTAGATCATTTCCTAGGACTCACAGATACGTAAATGTCTCACCTGAACAAATTTATATTTCAAGAACAATTTTTAATTTTTGTACTTGACGTATCACAATGAAACTTTCAGGTACCTATGTAGGATACCCTACTGTTTTCATAATTCTGTATTGCATTTTGCTTTGTTTAGAAAATATAAATTGTTTGCAACTGAATGAGATAAAAACTAAATGAGATAACTTTAAAAAACGGATATTTTTTTGATTTTTATGGTAACCTAAACGTATTTCACATGTAATAGAAACAGGCTGTTCTGCCATTCAAGTAAAATTTGCTGTTAATGATCATGAGATGATTAGGCCTACAAACTTTCGTAAGTTCAGTCTGCCCCATTGTAATTTTAACATTGCAAAATCAACACAAGTACTTGCATTTTCATTTTCAGTTTATACAGTCCTAGATAAAATCCTATTGCTAAGAAATGTTGAATTGTGTCATCATCGTTATTTTTATATTTCAGAAGTGCCATCTCCATTGCCGAGATACTGCAAAATGCGCATGCGACTGATAGAGGCTGCCTTAGTCTTCCGCCCGTATTTCAGAATCGGACACAAACACACGTACACACACCATATGGTGAAAATCGTGCACGCTGTTACTATGATTTTTTGAAACATTTTATACCTACATGTTATATTTTTACGCATTTAACTTTTGATTGTGATCGTACGTGTTCCCTTTTCAAATTGTATACAGAAATTTACCGTTTTTAATTTGTTTTCAAATGTTACCTCAAGGGTTGATCTCGATCATTTTCAAATCAATTCATGGGATAAGTTCAGATGTATCTGATTCTATCTGAAATTCATTCATTTTCTCTCCAATATTCTTATTTTATGCAAAAATGGAATTCAAAGTGTTTACATATTGCACCTTTCAATTTTGGAAGTAAAAACGCAATTTTCACCATATCGTTAATTGAAACTCCAGTAAGACTGCTTACCAATTTCATCAACTACCATATCATTTATCGAAACAATTGCCTTTGAAGTAAATTTTGTATGTTACATTATCTGGAAACGTAATCATCTGACACCTTTTGATGATTAACATATTTGCCTGAATAAATTTAAATGCTTTTTAATTTTTTTAATTTTTGGAAGAGTTATTTTGATATAAAAGGTTCAGAATTAAAAGTTTGTTGATAGTGATGTATTTTTAGAATCTATCATCTGTTTGATTTAAAGTGCATTCAATTGCTTATTAAAATTCAATCAAACGTTTGTCTTAAATTTTTGTAAATTGTCAAAGTTAAAATTTTTGTGTTTAAACGTTGTCTCATAATTAAGATTGCGGTACGTTGCAGTGCACTATATTACATTTTCTAGCGATGTTCACGAATTTAGGATGGAGCATCTTATTTTCAATAAGTTTTCGGCGTAATTCTATTTTTTTTCATTTGTAGTTAGTGAATTTGCCAAATTGTTAAAATGTTCATGTGTAAATATAATATTTTTCATATTTATGCTGTGATGGCTGAACAAAATAAAACAGTACATAAATTGTGTTCAATTTTGATTGTGTATAGTAAAAACGATCAAGATTCAAGGACCGGTAACAGTCCTGTACAAATAACAATTCAAGTGAAATTAAATGTTCATTTAGCCTTTTTTTTCATATTTCTTTTTTGTTCAATATGATTTTTTTTTTGTCATTCTACAATAAATAAATATTCCACCAAATGTATTTGTTTTATAGTTTGAAATGAATGATTATTGTATTGGAATACAATAAAAGGGGTGACAGGTGGGCGAGTCCATTCAGTTTGAGGGGTGACAGGTGGGGCGAGTCCATTCAATTTGAGGGGTAACAGGTGGGGTTAGTCCATTCAATCTGAGGGGTGACAGGTGGGCCGAGTCTATTCAATCTGAGGGGTGACAGGTGGGGTCAGCCCATTCCGTTTGAGGGGTGACAGGTGGGGCGAGTCCATTCAATTTGAGGGGTAACAGGTGGGGTCAGTCCATTCTGTTTGAGGGGTGACAGGTGGGGCAATTCCATTATTTTTGAGGGGAGGGTTCCAATTTAATTTAAAGATGACAAATGGGGTGAAAGCTCTATTGGAGGTTAAAAGCAATTATTTTGACACTTTAAAACGCAGTAGTGATTCAACTTGTTTATTTTCAAACCTTTAAAAGCATACACTGATGATAGCAAACAATGACACAATACATATTTTGTGAACTTTTATCATTTACCAACTAAATGCAAAACTGTGTTACTTGTTATCTCCAAACTTTCAGGAGTGAATAACATAACTAAAATGGAGTTTATAAAAACAGGATAATTGAAGTATTCTTTTAAGATTTCATAACTATGTAATGTCGCTCATCAGGGCCACAGAACAGAATAAAACATTTGTCAATGGGGATTTCATTTATTGTCAGTATTTTACAGGAAACTGCCATAAAACTAAAACACAAACAACAAATGAAATGAATTGTCTATACGTATTGTTCAGCATATGACACAATTTCTAATGCTACAACAGAATTCAAGTTTAATGCTTTTTATTAGCTTCATTAGTTACTAAAATCAACCATTAAAACTTCTATATCATGATAAAGTTTTGTTAGCTTCCCCATGTTGGACGCCCTGGACAATTTAAGTGCTTCAGCGTTTTCACTAATAATATCTTCCTTCATCTCGGGGGTCTTTCTTTTCTCAGACATGGTAGAAGTATATTTCACTTTGGCAGAGTGTTCAGAATGGCAAAACTTTCACTAGGGCGGAGGTTTTCCACTTCTGCAAATGTTGCACTATGAAGCTCAATGAGGCCACAGACTAGAATGAAGCATATGTCAACAGGCATTCCATTTATTGTCAACATTTTACAGGAAACTGCTGTGAAACTAAAACAAAGAAAACACATATGAAACTAATTGTCTATATTTACTGTTCACCATACAACACAATTTTTAAAAGCTTAATGACATAGAGTTAAAAGTACTAGTAATAGTACTAGTATCAACAAAAGTTTTGTCTGGTCCTCATCAACTTATCACTTACTACCTGTCACTAAACATTCCAAGATTCTATTAAGGTGAGAAAATACAATGACATCCTCTAATATAACTATAGAAATATAATAAATTATATGCAATTCTATACATTGAAATCTCACCGTTATGCTTCTATAAACTAAATCCACTTCTGCCACTGCATTACTCTGGACAACTGCATTCCTCTGCAATACACAGCAGACTGGCACACACTCAAGGGAAAAACTGTTCATTTATGCAAATCAAGGTCACTACAAGTCCTTGAGCAAATGAAGTGTAGTGGATGTGCTTGGTCAGCACACCTATTGCAATACTGACTACATACTGACTATTTTGTTCATACAGATAAAATGCAACACCTAAAAACTATGTCTCTTGTGTTGCATTATGTCAAGTTATCCAGTGCCAAAATTTTGGAGATTCAAATGAAAGTGACTGGATAATTAGATGTATCAATTAATAAGGAATCCATCTGGATAAGAAAGACTAAGAACACCGTGAACTGTGATGAGGACAGATATATCCTATCACACCTCTAAAATAACCTTAATGTACCAAAGCAGCACCCCTAATAGGGAGGTTGTGGTTGTGTGGGTGAGTGTGTGAGCGAGTGTGTGTATGTGTGTGTGTGCAAGCTAAACCCCTGCCAATTGCACCAACAGGGTGTTACATTTGACTGATGAAGGAGTAAAAGTTGGTAAAAAATATAAATATGATCTCATACCAGTATTTTTTAATGTCACTGCTTCTATAAGTTTTGACATTGCACAATTCTATTGATGGGTTCTGTGACTAAGTAAACGAATGTGTCTTTAAATTAGGATACCTCTCTCAAAATACAAATATGTACATTGAAACCGAAATATATAATGTATCTGACATGAGTTCTAGCTGAGGTACATGTTGTATATCTTTTGACTTTGATGAATCACAATGCTTGTGCCATTGCACCAAGCAAAATGCTATGACAGTGGGGATGATTTACACAGACATAAATTTTGAAGTAGAATAAGAAGCATTCAGGCAGCAATATATTTACCATACAACTTTATTAACTGGCTGCTAAACAATTCTACCAATATATTCAGTCCCAGGAAATTTTTTTAGTAATTGTGGCCATTGAACTAATATATGATCAGCAAAGTAATATAAGATTCTGGCCGATAGAGAAAGACTTTCCACTCTGCAGATGCTCTCAATATAGATGATGGAAACATCCTTCATTCCTGTCAACTGAAAATATAAATTATGTGCATCTTTTTTGGTCAAGAAGGTTAGTACAAAATATCTGATAAAGCAATCGGCAATTTGTACAAAACAAAAACCGATACATTTTAATTATACAATATTATAATTAATTGCTACCATTAATCTAAATAAAATGCAATGTGGCAGCTGAAACACAAACATAGCAAATATATGTACTGAAAGTTTCTTTACCTTTAAAAGAAAAGCAGCAAAGCACAGTGGAATACATGTTCCTGGACCATTGCACAATAACTGTAGCAAAAACAAACAACTCAAAAGATTTCTAGTGACAATAAAAATTACTTCATCAAAGAAAAGATTTCTTATTTCAGGATGTTATACATACATTGCAATGTTTTAACCTTGGGACGTCTTTCCTTTTTAAGTTTAATTCAAAACAAAAATTCACACGTCTCTACACCTTTCACATAAAAGTACATATTCACAAATATCAACAAATTTGTTTACAGTTAAAACTTTTTTTCATTACAGACAAAAATAATGGTTATATAACTTACCAAATCTGGTCTGCTTTTAAATACTATAGGGAAACAATACAAGCTTGCATATAATGTAGTCATTACTGTGGTTATCCAAGACTGATGCACTTCTCTGCTTCTAGGCACCTTGGTTATAAAATACTGAAAGTGTATCAATATTGCATTATTACATTATAAATTGACTAAAATAACAACTTTTATTTTACAGCAAAAATTGTTGACATTTTGAAATACCACTTACATTAAATTAGGTTGAGTAATGACACAACAATGTATCAAATTAACGGTATTCTGAAAAAATATATAACCTGTATCTCAAAATACATACTTGAGAATTAAAACCCATTTTTGCCTCAGCTGTTTTGATTCTGTCTTCACTCATTGTGTCTGTATTGGCTACTATGTATTCTCTAGGAGAATATCTATTTTTGCCCCTGTTAGTGTCTCTTGCAAAACTAGGTTCTGGTCTGCCTGCAAGCCCAGACACCAGAGAAAGGATTTCAGCGGTATGTCCACCTGTAAATATATGTTCAATATTCTTAGACAATGACAGGGCTCGACATTAGCGCCTGTCCGCCTGTCCGGGACAGGTAAAAATTCAGTTCGGACAGGTGAAGTTGCAGGGTTGGCTGTCCGACGGACAGGTCATGCTTTATGAGAAATTTGGAGCAAAAATCTTTTAAAAATAATTTTTTGTTGCATACTAACGTCTTTTTGCCTCTTCCTAGAGGACATTGAAAAAGAGTGACCTACTTTTGGCACAAAACACATGCAGTCGCAAAACGAAGTCTGAGCAAACTTACCGCCAAATTATGAAAGTGAACACCCTCCAGAACTTCAGCAGACAAAATTTATTCACATATCAGGTTCACTACTGAACATTTATTTAGTTAAAAATTTACGTGGTTTAGTAATAAAGACACTTCCAAAAACAGAAACTACACAAGTACTGTGCTGGAGCCAGATTGGACTGGATGAACTGGCTATATCTAGTTCGTTGTCACGGCAACAAACTGCCTGTCAATCAAACACGTTGTATGCTATCTGCTCACTATAGAAAGTGAAATCTTTGGGACTGAAGATCTTGTTGAAATGTTGTTTATTTGCCAAAATATTACCTGAAATTATGTATGATGTTTTTTTAATGACTCTAGCATCACCTCTGTTATTTACAGTTTAAAATTTAGTGCTGGAATATGATAAATTAACATTGCTCTCATATACCAGTGTGATATTGATGTAAGGAAGAAATTAGTAATAACAAATATGAGAATTTTAATAAAAAGAAGGGGAACTTTTTTATACTGATTTTATTTAGTTCATATATGTTTAAAAAATCAAACATGTGATAACCCCTTAAAAAGTTAAATTGTTAACATAAATATAAGTAAAGTATTATAAAATTTCTTTAATTTTCATTGAAATTTATTCAAATATTATAAATTTTGAATATTTTAATAAAATTAATTTAACAGTACTGTACCCCCTCCCCACTTCCCACTCAGGGTTTTTTTTTAGCTTTGGTTAAACTTCATGTGAATCTGTTATCAAATTGCAGACTTACAATTAGTAGACCCTGTACCCCAAATCCTAGGAGAAGCCCTGATGTGAATTATCAGACTTAAATGCAAGATTAAATCTTCAGGAGTTCACAAGTATGAAAAAACAAATTTTAATCTGAACATA